TTGGATTGAATGCGATATATTCTACTTCCCTAAGTTATTCAACTCAGGTTGAATTTAGTCAACCCTGGTTGCCAGAAATGTGGAAACTTAGGTTGACTCAAGCTACTCAATGGTTAATAGTCAAACATAGGTAATAACACTGAGTTGCTCTTACCCTGCTGTGACTGCTTCATACCACCTGCAAACGCTGTACGCCGACTGAGAGACGACAATCTGCTACGGCTTTCCGAGAAACCGCCTGACAAAGCCTTACACAGAATACACGGGCGAAAAGAAAGTAGGTTTTTGTAATCGATGTTCCAGGAAACTACAATATGGAATGCTTATTATATACAATGCCGTCCGTGTATTGTTACATTGGCATATAGGGAGCACGCTAGGGGGCACGTGCCAGTGTCAAGCCCGTAGGAACGAGGGGGTGATAGGGTGTGTGTGGGGTGTGTGTGTGTGTGTGTGTGTGTGGGGGGGGGGGGGGGGGGGGGGGGGGTAGGGCTTCCACGAGTCCAAATTTTTGGACTCGAGTACCCGAGGGGTGAAACTCGAGTACCCGAAAATAGGACGTCCTTTAAGAATATTGGTTCGTTAGATCAAAATTGCCATCTAAAAGTATTAAAACATGTTATAGGTATACTTGAACTACACTGAAATGTAAATAGAGAGCGTCCACGGAACTTGTTTATCTGTCAAAGTGAATGGAAGTGTTCAGTGTTAATGTTTGCTTGTAACTGCACTGATCTTAATCACGACCTTCAAAAACATTACGCCACGTCTACAAAAACTACAATACATATTGAACACAAAACAAGTTGTTTTTTTCTGACGATCAGCGTTTCATTCGACACCTGCCAACAAGCACGAACAATAATTCGCAGGAAGAAAATCGATAATGTGCATCACGTGACATACACATATACACAGCTACTGGGCTGCCAGACTAAGGCCGCTAAATATGGAAATGTAGTACTATAAGTTCATTCATTCATGAGTTGGTCACGTTTTCAAACTGTACCAAACTGTCGACCTGTCGCTTGTTTTGTGAGCACTGAAATAACACATATATGTCAGCTAATTAGTTGTTAATCTGTGTGAGGGAATACACTTGGCATTTGATGTCGGAGCAAAGAAGCAATAATCGCCTTGATGCAAATCAGCGTATTCACGTATTTAATAATTGATACAGAACACGTTTCGCTGTCCCCGTCCTTTGGTGACATTGTAGACTAAACAACTCACATACTCATATGTACGGTGGCCCATACCCGCCACTGGTGAGATCATTTTCCCCTGTAAACCTCTGTATTTTATCTCACCAGTAAAACATAGAGGCATACAGTGAAAAGTGATCTCGCCAGTGGCGGGTATGGGCCACCGTACAAATGAGTATGTGAGTTGGTTAGTCGGGGACAGCGAAAGGTGTTCTGTAACAATATTATTATTAAATACGTGAATACGCTGATTTGTCTATGTGGGGCTTAGCGCTCCCGACCACAACCCCATCACCCCCTCGTTCCCTCACCAGTGGCGGGTATGGGCCACCGTACATGTGTTAGTAGGTATACATGTCCTACTGCAATGCGAAGTATCTAGTTACATCTAACAAATAAAGTTACATAGTATTATGCTGTATTTAACTAATATTCCGCACACATATGTGAGAAGATAGAACCACACACCTACATACACCACGTGAAACGCGTCTAATAAAGTCTTATGACGTCATTCCTTTATCAATTGGCACCAATGACGTCATATTGCAAGGGGCATAAGCCATCGTGTGTTTATTATGGAAATAGAACTCTCTGTAAATGTGAAAAAATATGAACCGATTTTATTAATAAAATACATTTGATACGTGTGATATTTTCATTGTTTTGCCTCCGAAACTACTAGGTAAATACTTTTCATGATGAAAAAGTACAAGAAAAATAGGTTTGCTAGTTCCGGTCACAAAATATATGCTTTACCTTTTACTGATTTTTGTATTAATAACATTACAACGTTTCTCAAGGTTACAGACTCCAAGGATTCATTACAGTGTATTTTAAGCACCTAAAATTGACAACTAACACCCTGATCGCAAAACTCCTAACGGTTTTTACTAAAAATAGATACGAAAACCTTTGTTGAACCCGAGATTTGAATGACTGACAAATACGTACTTTCTTGTGTTCTCATACATAAAACAGCAGTGAAAACATGATCTAACATGGCTTAATGTGAGTAGTATAGTCTCAGTCCGCAGAAACCTTTTTTTGGTTGAGGGAGGTTGAGTGAAAATAGGGAAGGTGATTGGCTGATCCAAGTCACGTGATCGGATAGGATGACTCATGGATCAACAGAACGTCACAGGTGTGGGGGAATGAAAGGTGTGTGTTTATAAGGCAGAAAAGAATTCGTAAGTAAACAAAAGCAAAGGGTATTCAATAGAGCTATGTGTGTGGCGTGCTGCCCTGAATACACTCTAAATCTATGTGTTCTAATATAGAACACTGGACGCGTCCATACGTTCTGCCACAGAATACGAATGTTCTAATTCGTGCAGCACGTGTTCTATTGCTGAACGCCTGTGATCTGATGTAGAACGCGTGTGTTCTCTCCTGGGAGAAGTCCATGCACATTAGCAGAGATAATGTGCTGAATGCTGTTAGACAAATTTAAATTCGACCATCATATTTGTGTTTTCGGAATATTTATTTTTGAGAAGAGAGGCTGGTAGATTGGTATGTCAAACAGAAAATGTGTATAAGAATGGTTATATTTTGAGTTTGATGAATAATAAATAGTTTATAAACATGGCATACTTTGTGTTAATAATAACTCATATGTAGCCTGAATAAATACAACAAGAAACATTACTGAAATACATCTCATTGCTAATACATGGAAATAACTTGCTTGCATTGGGGACATTTACGTGTATCAGAACACTGGCATTCTGATGGCTAATTTGAGCTGGATCTTTAATGGGTGCTCTGGAACATATACGGTCTATTTGCTGAACGCCTGCGTTCTCTCCTAGAACGCGTGTGCTCTGCTGTGTTCTATAATGTTATATGCGAGAACACGTGTTCCATTAATAGAACAACGGTGTTCTGTTTTTCTAACAAGCATTCAAAGCTGTCCATGCTCTGTGATTCACATCCGTTATGTGAGAAACTGGCGTGACGTCGCATGTATACTACCCATCAAAAGTTTAGACTCACTGAAACCACTCACTATATCTCGTAAGAAAATCGTATTTGTGAAATCTACCGATAAAAAATAACAAAATCATTCATTTAGGTCTTCATATCCTTGTTCACAAGGACGTGTGCATTGATGATTAGTGAACCAGAATGCCGTATTGGCTAGTACCATACAAAAGTGAAATTGCAAAATTTAATAACGGGTATGACCACCCCTGGCTCTAACACAGACATTGCATCGACGTTGCATACCACGAAAGAACAGTTCAATCTGCCGCTGGGGAATGTTTGCCACTCCTCAAACAATGCATTGCGAAGTTGGCGAAGGTTAGCAGGGGGAGGAACTCTGGCATAAACACGCCGTCCCAGCAGATCCCAAACATGCTCAGTGGGGTTCATATCGGGCGATAATGCTCGCTAATCCATTCCATTCACCCCATTTTGTTGTAAACAAGCTGACACGATGCGAGCTCTGTGAGGCCTGGCATTATCATCTTTGAAAACCGCGTGACCTGGCATGGCCCTTAAGAATGGAAGCACAATAGGAATGATGATCTCGTCCCTGTATCTCTGGCCAGTCAGATTTCCATCCTGTACCAGTAAATCAGTTCTTCCAGTCAGGGTGATACCTCCCCAGACGATAACGGATCCACCTCCAAATCGATCATGCTCCACAACAGCAACGTCAGCGTACCGCTCTCCCTGACGTCTGTAGACTGGGATCCGACCATCGTTGAAATGCAGATTGAACCTTGATTCGTCGGAGAAGAGTACCCTTGCCCATCTGCGGGGACCCCAGCGTAAATGTCCATTTCCCCAATTCAGTCTGTTCTGACGGTGGCGTGGTGTAAGAGGGGGTCTTACAGCAAGACGACGTGCCCGCAGTCCGTAGTGACGTAATCGGCGGCGTATTGTTGATACAGATACACGTCGTCCTGTAGCTTGTTGGAAAGCATTATTGGCTGCTGTGGCTGTAATGTGTCTGCCCCTGAGAAACAGCAAAAAGACGCATCGGTCATCTTGCTGTGATGTTACCCTGGGCCTACCCGACCTGGGTCGATCCTGGACGGTGGTGGTCTGTTGAAAGCGTACCCAGAGGTTGGATACTGCCTATTGGGATACGCCAAGACGTCTTGCAACATACCGTTGTGATCTGCCATCTTGTAGCAGTGCCAAGGCTTGATGTCGTTCCTCAATACGGAGATTCTCCCTCTACCCATGCTTGCATCAAAGAAGAATTTCTCCACTAACTCAGAAGAGCCAACTGCAATCCTTATAAAGATGAATTGCACGAGTATCCCGCGTCAAATTGCTCCTAAAACACGTGCATTATCGTGCACGTGAACACCTGCGTTTTGGTGCGAATTTTGTTTAAAAATGTGCGACATTTCACAGAGTTTTATCAATTAATGAACGAAAAACTCTCATCTTTTCACCGTTACAGATTTGGTTTTACGCCACATCAGTTCATGTGCTAACAGTACCTGTAAAAAGTTTAGAATATTTGGCATTATCTGGTTTGAAACAGTTGAGTATAGTGAGTGGCTACATTTACACTGGTGAGTCTAAACTTTTGATGGGTAGTATATTTGGCGCTACAATTTCCTATGATCTGAGGTGTGTCTGTGGTAAGTATCCATCTAGGAATACTTTTGTTTCATATTTTATACGTACCTAAAATAATGTAATATTTCGGCGATATATTCATATGCTGATCGCAAGCGAAGTAAAACCGGCCCCTTACAAAACGCATAGGAGACGACATATTACTCGCCATTTTGACCGTCATTTCTGCCATTGTTCCACGCGCTTTATTTATAAATTATGAGATGAAATTCCAATCCAAATTGCAAGTGTCACTATTTGAACGTTTCCGTTTATTTGAATGATGTTCAAATAAAATGAATATATATTTCAGGTTCTATATGAATCACCTGAAAGTTCGAAGCAGGCTACATGCAACAAATCTCTGAACATCTAAATTTGGGATCCGAGGGCATGATCAGCAAGCATCGACAACGCATCGAAATCAGCAGAGAGTAGTGTAAGTATGTAATGAACAAAAAGAACTAAACCTTCACAGGACATGTTTTGGCTATTTTATGTGAAATATTTTAGAGAATCAGTCTTGTTGTTTCTATTTCAGGGTGCATTGCAGATAATCAGTACCATCCATGGAAATTATTGCACAGGGCACACGTCTACACAAAGGAGGAAAAGACACAAGGTTTTGCAGATCAAATAAGAAGGTACTTGTGTATATTTTGCCCTAACCTTTATCCAAGTAAGTGGTAACTTTGTTAGTCAAATGACATTTTTGGCAAAACATTTTGCAACCTGTAAATAATGAAACAAATGTCACGGTAATCTTGGGTTTACTAACGAACATTTGTTAGAATAATGTCTTATGTAATATGTACGAGTTTGATAACTTTATGACTATGATCAAATAAATGTTTTGTGTTGTAGGATGTTGGGGAGTCATTTTTGACATGAAGTTTCCTGAAGCCAGCGATGGTCATGTCGCTGTTACGAACATCGTCCTTTGGGGATATTTACCCACAAGAAACATCTGCGAAGTACATGCGCTTCGTGAAAGACTTGAAACTTAAGTTATCTTAAGTATGGAAGTATGCTTCAATTTGCTACACGACAGTTTGTAATGTTTCATGAAGAACTCTGACTCATAAGTGACTTGAATATCCATGATCATCCCAAACAAATATAATAAAGAATTCATGGTTGCAGTTCAGAATTTCGTCTGTGTGATTTTATGCTAGAGAATATGCATGGGTGTATGGTTTAAATTCTTACACCTTGAAAAACATCGGGTAAATTGTTTTCGACACACACGATGAGTTGTCGTTTCAGTAATGTGGAAGTACGTGTCCGAGAACGTGTAGTGTTCTGAATCTCGGTCCAGAACCAGTGCGACCTTGTTTGATGAATGCAGGGTGTGTGTTGAAAGTACAACCATACCGCAATAGAGACGGGTTGTGTCAACATGATATACGCCGGGTAATGTAGGGGAGGGGGAAAAAATGTACGTTTAGCTGGATCAAATCCATCTTATACAGTCTACACGTTGTACACCATGAACGTTAGACAACCTGTATAGAAAAAAATATAGACAAAATAGATAAGACTACACAATCAGCAAGCTAGCAGTGTCGTTTAATTACATTTAGCGCGCAACAACGAGGTAGTCACGTCACCCTGCATTGACTATAACGCTGAAGGCAGCTGGATTTCGAATCACCCACGCTGCGTACTATTGTGAACCATTTGTAAAGAATTATTCAGCCCTGTCCCGACTTGCATAGTTGATGTTTCAATGCTAGCTTTTCCATTTAACGCAATGACAAATAAGCCCTACGGTTTGAGTTTTAACCGTGTAACATGCTATTATGAAAATAGATTTTGTTGTTTACAATACTCACCCTTAATTCGACGAGAGAACAGAGTTTATCATGGAAAATTGATTGACAAGGAAAATGTTTTATTGGAAATATATGTCGAAGCAGTTTTATTCATAGCTAATGTATAGCAGAGAGACTAAGTGACCGACCGCCCATAACAATGTCTACATACCCCGGCCTTACAATTAATGTCAACATACCAGCCTCGCCTGAAGCTTCCCATTCATAAATTGTGTGACCAGTGTCCCGTATTCATGATATGTTAGGGAAGATGTGTTGTACATTTGTTAATTTAAAAGGGAGTTATTTCAGAGAGGATATATATGGGTATTCCCCCTCATTAAACTTTTCTTTCGTTGGTGTCTATTAAACCTATCCGGTATTTAATACATTTGAATGATGTAAGAAAGTATGTGTGTGTAGATGTTGTACCTATATCCGAACACGAATGTATGACACCTTTCAATAGATCAATTACGGTTCTAACCACGACACGCAACATGACTATAAGCGTGGTTAGCAGTTCATATTTATAAACACATCGTAAATGACAGATTTCTGATGAATGAACTCGCCCGCACACATGTCTATAGGGTTATGTTCGCCCGAACTGTAAACAGTGACACATTGATAACAGGAAGGGTGTGTGGAATGCACTCGTCCTTGTAAGGGTAAAATACGCGTTTAAACTCACCATTTAAACGATGACATTACTTTTTAGATGTATTGGTATCAGTGAGTGAGTGAATTTAGTTTTACGCCACACTCGGCATTATTCCAGCTCTAGGACGGTGGTCTGTCAATAAACGAGCTTGGACCAGACAATCCAGTGATCAACAGCATGAGCAGCGATCTGTGCAACTAGGAACCGATGGCACGTGTCATCCGAGTCGGCGAGACTGACCAATGGATCCCCGTCAGTCGCCGATAAGCATGGCTTACTGAAGGTCCATTCTATAACCCGGACCTTCACGGGTGTAGTATGACGAAGACTATATACTAATATGATCGAAAACTGAGAAAAAACAAACAATTCATTCGTATCATTTATTGATTCGAGTCAATCGGTTCCATACAAAGCCGTGATATACGAATGGACAATAGTATTCACTCTGGAACATTATTTAGTCACTCATATACACATGCTGCTGCTGCTCGAAGGCCCTATTGTTTAAACAGCGAGTCCATGTTTTGAAACACATTTCGCACTGTTGAATGTTTCCTTTTCTACGCTGTTTTAAGGTTGAATGGTTGTCTATAGTCTATGCTTTATCCATTGCTTGTAACGATTTCCGTCCAGGAGGTCCCAGTTTCACAATTCCTCTCACGTAGAGGGAAATTCGGCGTGGTCTCTTATACGAAGTGACGCCATATCTCCATCAGCAACTTGGGAGCTTATAAAGCAACTTCCAACAGAATTTGTCTCACGTATGAGCATAATACCACTGGATGATCACTTAGCGCCGGTGTCATTCGGATAGGACTCAGAACTACGAGTCATGGGGGTTTCCAATAGATCCAGGTTACTTAGTATAAGGTGATATACACACCGGATAATCGAGTATGTTACCAGACAGAAACCAAATCCCTTGTACACGTAAACCGTAAGTAACGTAGTTTGAAGCCAGGCGTATTATACCAAGCAACCCTTTCTCCGGACTCCAAAAATTCAATGAATTCAATGAACCATCGGAGAAGATTGCTTGTATTTTTGTTTGAAACGTGGCTCATTGGGTTAATGTATCTGCTTGAAAATCCTATGTTTAAAGTACCCCATGTTCCCGCGGCAAAGGTGTTAAAGCCCCACCCTGAATATAAATAGCCCGCAAGGTGGAGGTGTATCAGTGTCGAACAGTGACTGACAATGTAGACACAACCGAGTGTCGGGAGAAGCTTTTTGAAAACCATACGGGAACCAGATCACCAAAGACCGTCAAACTTCGTATCAACTTGAATGACAAACCATGTATACAACAAATGGCTCCATATCAAGATGTAAGTCAATAAATTTTCTACAAGTGGAAACTTGACTTTTATGAAATCAGGTAACACCTTTGCCGCGGGAAGATGAAAGTGCACCTGCGGCTAAACTGATTGTGATCAATCAACAATGGCGTTCTCCGTGACACCAGTTTCACCGTAGTGGTAAACGTCTGAGACCTGCATCACTTCGGGCTTTCATCCAACATTAAGTTGACACGCCGCGTTATAACTGGAATATTGTTAAAAACCCAACTCACTCACTCATTCTCCGTGACACCAAACATAGCCTGTAAACTCACTTCCTTGAACTCATATAGAGACAGAAGCGAAAGAGAAAGTAGGTCTCTATTCTCGAGGCAGACTCGTACGTTCGCCTTAAATGGTATTGCCTGCCGATATGTATCCATTTTCAATTGGTGTAGTTCCTGATAAAGTGAGTGAGTTGGGCTTACAGTGAGTGAGTGAGTTGGATTTAACGCAGATTTTAACAGTATTCCAGTTATATCGCGGTGTGTCAGCTTAATGTGGGAGGAAAGCCCGAAGTGATGCAGGTCTCAGACGTTTACCACTTCAGTGAAACCCACGAGCACGGGCATGGTGCTGACAAACCTAGAAACATAATCGGGGCGAACCGGGATTCGAACCCACAATCATAGGTTTCTGTCGTGCCCAAGGGACGCAACCCAAATCGCGGCGCCTTAGACGACTGGGCCACCCGTGCCCCCAGGTGGGCTTAGATAGTATATCACAACAACCTGTTGAACAACTTGTCAAACAGCTCACTGTCAGGTAGCTCTACCCAACAGCTAGTAACAAACCTTCCAAACCTTTCATTAGAGTATATTAATCTAACAAAGATTTGAATGAATTACGAACTGTCTTTTTTTTTGTCACACACATACAAATAGGCCTAACTGGTGGCGAAATTTTGACATGCATGTCATTGTTGGCTAGTGAAAAGAAGCCAACCTCTCAGTTGATTTTATCATATGTTTGATTTTCGGTTTATAAAATCGATATTACAAATCGATATTATGTTAGCAAAGTAACCGCACTGGCGCTTAGTCGGCACGCACAGAATACCTCTACATGGTTTTATGTTCTTGAATATCATTCTATTTAAAACTTTTAAAATGTTAGGAGAAAGGAGGCGAAGGACAGGGTGCAAGTCTAGGTCTGTCCGACCTATTTCCGTGAAGCGAGCCCGCCTGTCAAGAGATATTGGGACAGGCCTACGTGCGGGAAACGTTGACCCAGTGTACCTGCGGCGACGTGGTTCATGTTTTGTGCACGGTGCAACCGCATGTTGCGCAGTCAGCATTTTTTTATTGGCATAGTGTAAAGTATGGAATGGAGTTTTGATTGGAATACTGGAATGGAATCTGGAATGAAACAAGTGAAACATACCCTATTTACAAACAAGTCTCCAATTTAATATGCTAGGAGATGAAGGTGACACACGGTCACATATGAAGAAGTGACGCATTATGACACACATTCAGATTAGTCACCCATATATTATCTACTGTAAATGATCGATTCCGGACCGGGCATTCGAGTGTTTGTTTGTTTGTTGTTTAACGCCGCAGTCAGCAATATTCAAGCTATATGACGGCGGTCTGTAAATAATCAAGTCTGGACCAGGCAATCCAGTGATTGACATCATGAGCATCGATCCACCTAATTAAGATACGATGGCATGCATGAACCAAGTCAGCGAGCCTGACCACCCGATCCCGTTAGTTGCCTCTTATGACAAGCATAGTCACCTTTTACGACAAGCATGGGTTGCTGAAGACCTATTCCAACGGCCAGCCAGTGACAGAAAGCATGGGAGAAAATCCACACTTTCAAAGCAGAATGACACACTTTCAGATTAGTCACCCATACATTCTGCCTGTGTGATTCAACAAAGTAGTAACATCGACGACATTCGCAAAGAAAAACGTTAAGCACACCCCTATTTCTGTACACAAAGATAAAAGTTAAGCACACCCCTATTTCTGTACACAAAGATAAACGTTAAGCACACCCCTATTTCTGAACCATAACAAATGGCAATAATCATGGTATGGGATGACTGACAACAGGAGCTGTGCGATGCCAATGTCATCGGATAGAACAAACATTTGCCAACAAATAAAGAAGATATTGGTGAGTTGTGATTGAAATTTACTGACAAAACAGCAATGTAATACAGATATTGTTTTTCACCTTAGACAATACGTTAAATAGGTTTGGAGCTGCAGGATTAAGTAAACGAGTTATGTTTCATGTTTCATGTGAAAATGTTCCTTCAGGTCTCTACTTGACATGACACGTGAAACAGATCAGTAGCGGGTTTAACCGCCACGTGCCCGGATGCCCTCATGCCTCCAGTCAGACGTTGGATCTATTGACAATCTCATTAAAATTAGACCTTAGTTCTCGCTACCGCTAAACAAAGATCTGAGGACATCCCAGTAGAGGTCACGTCAGAACGACCTTTCATTCGACCAATCAGAGCGTCGCTTACCAGATCATGAGAGTCACAGTTGGAATGTTATTTCTAATCATGCATCTTCGAAAACTTTAACACGGGGTGTTCCGAACGATAGTTACGGGTTTAACGACTGAATCCATACAATCTAGACCATCTATTAGCCATTCCAGAAAGTTCTTTTGTTCAGGTTTCAAATTTTTAATCGAGAATTTGTCAAAATATGTTTCGAAGCGTTGTCACCAATTTGAAAATAGTGCCATAAAGCACGAGAAAGCTGCCTTCTGATTGGTCATTCCATTAGTCGGACAAAGTTCGCGCAAGGTCGGTCTGACGTGTCCCGTAATGGGATGTTTAGCTGTTTCAGTTTATTTACCGTTCAAGTCAGTAGTCAGTAAATAACCGCTAGTAGAGAGAAAGTAATACCTTCCGGACAAAAGCATTCCTGTGGAGCATAGAATTTCCAACAATTCCTGTGGAGCATGGAATTTCCAACAAAAGCATTCCTGTGGAGCATAGAATTTCCAACAAAAGCATTCCTGTTACCTTCTGGACAAAAGCAGTCCTGTTGAGCGTGGAATTTCCAACAAAGCATTCCTGTGGAGCGAGGAAATTCCAACAAAAGCAGTCCTGTGGAGCATGGAATTTCCAACAAAAGCATTGTGGAGCAGCATTCCTATGGAGCGTAGAGTAAAGAAACAAACAAAAGCATTCTTGTGAAGCATACCACAGAGGCCAGTCAATACCTTTCACACAATAGAAGTTAACAATAACGTTCCATGATCAACGTTTCATCCACTCATAGAATGTATGGTGCGATGAATACTCAGTAACCAATGAAACGCTAAAGGAAGTCAAAGTACACCAATGAAATTCAACTTTATTGTTATAAGTTAAGCAGTGTTTAACTGTTGAAGCTTTCATTCGAGCTTAAACAGCGATCTTGTCAACAAGACGAAATCTTCACGCCAGTATACATCTTGAATCTGATCATGGGAACCCGAACAACTGACAAGTATGTATTTTTTTACACCAGAACTTTAGTGTTTAGTCAACATTTTTCTACTGAGATTGTTATCGAAGGAATAGCATTTAACTGTGCTGAGCAGTATAACATGTATAAAAAAGCTTGTATGTTCAGAGATTGGGAAACTGCGCATAAGATTTTAAAGTGTGTTTCTGCCACCGAACAAAAACGTTTAGGTAGAAGTGTGAGATGTTTTAATCAACGCCAATGGGATGCTGTGAGTTCCAATGTGGTGTATGCAGCATCTTCAGCTAAATCCACACAGTCTGTTTTTCTGAAGAAACAACTGTTAGACACTTTTCCCAAGATCTTGTTAGAAGCGAGTCCGTATGATCGTGCGTGGGGTGTGGGTCTATCACTGCATGACCCTAATATTCTTAATCCATCTAAATGGAAAGGCAGTTATAGACTTGGTCAGATCTTAATGATGGTTAGAAATGAAATAATGAACACAGAGCCAAGTGAAAACTTATGACTTTAAATGTGTTACAGTGATGTAACTTGCTATTTTGAACAGAGGCAAGAAAACTACATTCTACTCGTGGAAGCAGGTCATGCGGATGCCACACACTCTAAATGACCCAGTCATAACAAGATCGCCTGAGTGGTTTCAAGATAGGGAAGAATGCGCGAAAGATGCAAAGAGAAAATTTAAAGACGAATGCAAGACAACAAAGAGAGTCATTATCAAGAAGATTAAAACCTTACCACTCAACGCTGATGAAGTGGATATGGCTACAAAACTGAAACATGCAAAGGATCTTCTCACGTTGAGTTACTCTTTAGAAGTGATTTAAACAATCAGCCAACTCGTGTGTGAAATGTGTATTCCTTGTCTGTTTAATGAAGAAGGTGATCCAATCTTTTTGGGAGAACATTCTTGTCGCATGACGGAGCAGGAGCAGGTGGATAAATACTTCAACGCGGCACTTGAGGATGCGGACAATGAACTGGTAATAGGAAAATGGATGAAACTTGTGACTGATGATCCAGATCTGTGCACAATGCCTGCTTTCCATTTAGTACCTTACCAGTGTAAGGACTATCGTGACAATACATTCAAATCACCCGAATGGGTGAATGGTTTGAAGCAATGCGTTGTAAAAATGTTGAAGTTGCAAAAACGCTTGTAGACTGTTTCCATGTCATATTATTCTATCAGTACCAAATTAAATGTGTGTGTGTGTACTTTAGCAATGTCCATACTATGAATAAAACATAAATTATGCTTACATCTTTGTTTGTCTTCTTTTGATAGTTATCAAATGGTTGTTCTTTAATAGGTGTCTGTTGTCAGAGCTTCTCTCATTTCAACATGAAGCCACAACAGAGAAAGGTGGTAACAAAGAAACAGGAGAAGATGTTAGAAAGTTACTATTTTAACCCACTTGAACCGGGGGCTTTTTATGGTCCTGAGAAACTTCATAGCGTTCTGAAATTAGCTCGTCAACCAGATCTCAGACTGAGCACTGTGAAACGTTTTCTGAACAAACAGGACGCCTACAGTTTACACAGGCCACCCAAACAGAGATTCAAAAGGCTGAGAGTTCGGGTATATTCTATAAATGAAATGTTTGATGTAGATTTGACCGACATGACTCGTTACAGCAAGGAGAATAATGGTGTGCGTTATTTACTGGTGGCTATTGACCTGAGTAGGTTTGCTTTCGCCCTGCCTTTAACAAATAAGGGACCAGAGACAGTATTGAAAGCTTTCAAAGAAATAATTCAGGAACGAAATCCAATGAAAGTGCGTGTGGATGGTGGTTCAGAGTTTAAAGGAGTATTTAAAGTTTTTTTAGAAAAACACAATAGCACTCTGACTGTTGCACATAACGAAAACATCAAAAGTAATTATGTGGAACGATTCAACAGAACACTGAAATCACTTATTACGTGTTACTTGACCCATAATAACACCAAGTATTATTTAGATGCACTGCCCAAGTTGATGGACAATTATAACAACACCTTACATTCTTCTTTGCCCAACCTTTCTCCAGTTCAAGTCAAGAAGAAGAATGAACTGAAAGTATGGGAACATTTGTATGTGAAGCCGTTGTTACTTAAAAAAAGCTCCAAACACAACAGGTCAAAGTCATTTGTATTTAAAGTAGGGGATCTTGTTCGCATTCCATACATCCGGAGACCTTCCATTAAGGAACTTGATCTGAAGTGGACTCAGGAGCTGTTTAAGGTGGCTAGGCGATACAAGAGACAAGAGATAGCACAGTATAAGATCAAAGACTTTCACGATAAACTGATAGAAGGTACGTTTTATGCCAACGAGCTACAAAAGGTGGAGAAAAAGGAAAATGTCTTGTGGCAGGTAGAGAAGATTTTAAAGAGAAAACGTGTGAAAGGGAAGACCTACCTGTTAGTGAGGTGGTTGGGCTGGCCGAGTTCCTTCGATTCTTATGCGGAGGAAAGTGAACTGAAAGATATCTGATTGAAAGGTACATATTTCTCAAAAGCTCAGACTCCAAACAATCTTATTTTAACGAGAATACGCCTTATCATTTTCGTGTCAAACTAAATCAAAGGTTGAATTTTGATGGATTCTGGGTTGTGTCTTTAACGGAGATTAATTTTGGTAAACTTGAATGATCCATATGTGGACGTGTTATGCAATCTGTGTGATAGTTCTTTGGCAGGTGAACAGCAGTTGCCTTTATTGAGACGGCTTGATCTCAGACAAGGTCCTTACTATAGCTTTGCCCATGAATACAATATTCCGATTAAAGTCAAAGAATCTCCACACATAGAGGTGCGTATAAAGGCCAGTAACGGCATGTCACCCTCATTTCTAAAGGAAGTGACATATGTGACACTGCACTTGAGACGGTATCCCTTCGTTGATTAACCATGGAGTCCACACCTTTGTATGTTCCCGATTATGTCAAATGGACCCACTATTTCAAGAAACACATGAAAGGAACATCTGCCTTAGTGAATGGTAAACCACAGGTGAAAGTGATCCTGACACGACTTCAAGTGAAGACCGAAGAACCCAAGATCAAACTGGAAGTGACATCAGAGATGCAGAATATTGTTGAGAGAGCCAATGCCAAAGAAAAGCGATGGAAATCTTTAAAACGAGCTGCAGGTGATCGAATCACCACTTCAAAGAAGATCCGTCAGACAGATAACATTCCATCCAAGACCGCTAAGGTTCTCCAGTGTACCCCTGTTCGAGAAAACGACGTTTTCAGTTAATCATGTCACTATTGAATGATAAAGACTTTGAGGAACTGATACCGCCCTCTCTCAATCTGTTTATTTTACCACCATACCAGACCAGCATCCATCAACATTATTTTGATGAAGTGCGACCACTCAGCCAAATCAATGATTCTTCACCGTTGGAATTTCAAGTAATGAATGCTGGAAGTGATTACATTGACCTGAACCGTACCCGCCTACATGTGAAGCTCAAGGTGAAACATGCAGATGGCACTGATCTTGATGACAAGGAACATATTGTCCCTGTCAACTTGTTTCTGCAGGCCCTCTTTTCCCAGGTGTCAGTGTACCTGCAGAATCAGTTGGTATCTTCTACAAACAACCATTATGCTTACAAGAGCATGATGAAAACTCTACTCAACTATGGAACAGAAGCTAAAACTTCACAGCTGTCATCTCAACTCTTCTACAAAGATGTGTCTGAATCCAACAATGATGTGGAATCGACTGATCCCTACACTGGTCTCAATACAGGAGTGCAATCTCGTGGCGGTTTCATTAATACTAGTAAAGTCTTGACCATGTCGGGGCCATTGTATGAAGATATCTTTCACATGAACAGACATTTGGTCAATGGAGTGGATTTGACAGGGAAGCTGTACCGCTCCTCGCCCCAGTTCTGTTTGATGAGTGGCAAAACAGGTCAAGGTTACAAGGTGGAAATTCTGGATACCTACCTGAAGGTATGTAAACTGAAAGTCAATCCAGCTCTTATTTTGGCACACAACACCTTGTTTCAAGACAGCAATGCTTTGTATCCTTACACCAAAAGTGAGGTCAAGGTGACAAGCATCCCCACCACTCAACTGACACATACCATTGACAATCTGTCGAATCCTATTGCTAATCGTTACATCGTAGGCTTTGTACTCAGCAACAGCTTGAATGGATCTTACACTGGTAACCCCTACAACTTCCAATCTAGTATGGTGAAAAACATCAGCCTGTACATCAATGGTGCCAGTGTCCCCGGACAACCCATGCAGGCAGATGACGTTGAGTCCTTTGTGCAGATGTTCGATGGGATGTGTCTGTGGAAAGAAAATACAAGAAACGGAATAACTCGGGGCGACTTTTTGCTCGGGAGTGCCCTGTACGTCTTCGACATTGATAAAGTATGCAGTGAATCCGACTATCTGAATCTGTTGAAATCCGGTAGCACCCGACTAGAAATCGAGTTCAAATACGCCCTCACCGAAACACTCAGTTGTGTTGTTCTGAGTGAAAGAAATTCCCTCATCGAAATTGACAAGACCAGGAACGTGTTTGTGAAGTAAAAAACATGAAAGCCTCTGACCTTGCATGTGCTATTCAAAGCTACTCCATCTTAAAGTACCATGTCTTAGGTGTGTTTGCCAAAGATACTTTACCTGTGCTAACTAGAGTCATGCTTGCACGTGGAGTGGGTCTCATTGTCAATACTGAACCATCTGGAAGACCGGGTCGTCCCTGGGTGGCTATGTACTTCAAAGGAAATACAGGGGAACTGTTTGACAGTCTGGGTGAGCCAGTGAATTCCGTTTTTGACTTGTACTTAAAAACATATGTCAATCAATACCAGCACAACAGAAGACAGTTACAGTCCTCATCATCCAACCTTTGTGGTCATTATTGTTTATATTATTTGTTGTATAAATGCAAAACAGAACTTACCCTTCAAACCCTTGTGCAGATATTTGATGTGCAAGTCCGTTTTAACAATGATGAGCATGTGTCAAATTGTATCTGTAATTATTTTAGATATTGTTTGTTATCTTGTCATACCTGTGTCATGTAACATAATACTGTACTTGTGTAACCCATTAACAAAATGAAATAAAAAAATTAGTGTAGTCATTCGAGTTTTTCTATAAATATAAGTAACTCAGCTGTATTGTCACAGTTGAATTATTGTGCTCAGGGTGAGATCATGGAACGTAAGTGTCTCTTACCAATACAAACACCTACCGCCATATCTGTGATTGGTGGATCTTCCTCAGGGAAAACAGTTTGGGTGAAAAGGTTGTTAGAGCAAGCTAATCTGATGTTTGACAAACCTCCCAACCTTATTGTGTACTGCTATGCCGTATGGCAAGACATCTACAGTGACATGCAGCAAAACATTTCTAACATTCTTTTTATGGATTCCCTTCCAACTGAGAATGATTTGAAAATGTGGTCTGAGCAATCTGAAAAGAACATGGTGTTGGTCATGGATGACATGATGATGGATATATGTAAAAGTCCACTGATGTTAAATCTCTACACTATATTGTCTCATCATTGGGGAATCAGTGTTATAAATATTCAACAGTCTGCTTATCCTAAGGGGGATTGTAACCGAACTATTTCCTTGAATACACACTACTTCATTTTGCTATCTAACCCACGTTCTGCACATGAATATAAAATCTTGGCATCTCAAATATTTCCAGGACAAGCCAAATATTTTACTGAATCATTTCGTGACGCAGTGGAGGGAAAGAAATTTCAATATTTAATGATTGACGTATCACCCTATTCCGATCCTCAGTATGGGCGTCTGCGCAGTGGTGTCTTTCCAGATGAAGTATGTATTGTGTACCAACCCAAATAAAAGCTACTGCTGAAAGTTATACCCACCAGTTGCCCGTCTTACCAATGAACACATCAGTTGCTTAATGAGGTCATCATGGATGTTTGCGGACGATTTGAAGATATTGCTAACGATTGTTCATTGATTTCAACCAATGCTGAAGTGTATGGGGATAGCTTTTGTGAGAGATTAAAGTCCTTCGCCAGTTGGCCCGTGCAAATGAAACAGTCTCTGAAGACTATGGCACAAGCAGGATTCATTTACACGGGTCAATCAGATAAAGTCTACTGTTTCATGTGTCGATTGCGTGTACATAAATGGATGCCAGAAGATGAACCACTAACTGAACATTTCAGGTTATCACCTCAGTGTAGTTACATAAACGTGATAGCTTCTAATACCGAATGAGAGACATCGGCTATTGTGTATGAGGAATATTAGGGTCTAAGCATACATATATAAAAGTCACAATAACCTAGTTGGATCATTTCACATCGTGATCTCTTCACATCAATATGGGTGATTTACTGGAAAAACATCTGTCTTTTCTTCAGACACTACTGCAGGCTAATGTGAAGCAGAGGAAAGCTTTACTTCAATATGTGTCATGTGAACAAATGCATGCTATTAATAGCATGATGTTAAACACTTTGAAAGGGAATATTCCGCTCTCACTGATGGATAAAACTCGCTTGCACCGTCATAGGTTTCACATTAGAACATTGGCTGCCAAAGAAGGTTTTCCCAATCGGATTAAAAAGGAGGTGTTGATAAGACATCATTCGATCTTGCCTATTTGCATTGCTGCACTGTTAGATTACCTACATCATGAGCAGACCTATGGTTCTCCTGAACAGGAACACATACCAACGCCTGATAGACAACCAGGAAAAGGAGAAGACAGCGACTCAGGAACAACAACAACAACAGATAATGACTCCGGATCGGGAGACGAGTCCTCTGAGACTGAATGAGACCCCTGAAAAAATCACCCATGATGAAGCACAGATTAAAGCGAATACGAACTTGATTCTGGATCTACTTCTTAAGGATGTGTCATTAACTAAAACGATTGGCAAACTCACCAAACTATGGTACTTTATCAGGGATCAGATCAGAAACGCTCACTTCAGACTGAATGATCAGTTAGAAATTGTGTTAGATAATGAGAATGTGTAGATCGGAACTAACGTTATTGACCTCATTCGTTTTACTGTGATGCATCGTGGGGCTGTTCCTACAGGCTACCGTGACTTTCTCAAACTTTTAAAAATGCTCCATGTACCAAAGCGGCTTTTGTAGAAGCCAGATGCAAAGAAAAAGAACGACAAAAGAAAGAAGGCAAAATCATCTTGATATCTAAAACGACAAGCACAACATGGTGTGCCCGGTGCTAATACTACTGCAAAATTAAGAAAACTACAGTCTTTCTAACTGTACATGCACATTGAATTCATGACATGTATTCTATGTAACTTTCTGATTGTAAAGCAATAAAATAATGCTAACACATGCGTCTTTAGTTATTACTATCTTCCATGTTCATGAGGACTCTGAGCTGCAGCTCAAGTCTTTCTTTTTTGTCATCACAGAAGAAATGTCTATGCATATAATCCGAGTCATTGTAACGCACAGTGTGCTGGTCCTGAAACTCTAGCCCAAGGCTTACCCTCTGTTCTTGGCTTTTTCCAAGATGGTATGAAGGGGCAGCTCATTCACTGCACGATCAAAGTATTGAGTAATACACTCGTCACAAACTATACATTTTGGAGCTCTATAGAAATATAAGTTCAAACTTAAGTGCAAACAGCTGCACACAATGAACATGAGTGGTGTGGCTGCTATTCAAAACAGTTTCAGATTGCTTCAAGACAGATGTATCAAGCGGGTGTATAATAGGGTAGTACTAAGAACTGCTGAATCACCTTGACCGAGTACACAAGCTATACAATATTTTTAAGAAAATGTTTACCATGGGATGGTACTGAAAACGTGACACTTTAAAAGCACAGGTGTTCCATTATGAAAGACTACATAAAAGGGATACACTTAATGAAAGAGCCGTATAGAGAGGTGGTGAGGTGAGGTGAAATTGGGTTTAACGTCGCGTCCAAGATTATTGCACTTATATAGCGACGTGCATGCACGTGTGTGTGTGTGTGTGTATATGTGTGGCTGCTTGTACTAGTCCGGACTGATGCCGATTTATAGTGCTAGCTCACTGAGATACCGTCCTGCAGTTTAACATGAATACCCCACTCAGACACAGTATAGTGACTCCGAGCCAACCAGTCCTTGTTTTAGCCCCTTAATGTCGAGCGCCAGACAGGGTAACAACAAGTACCATCTTTTAACGTCTTTTGGTATGACGCGGCCGGGGATCAAACCCCGGACCTTCCGCTCTCCGGGCGGACGCTGCCGTATAGAGAGTGTGTTACTAAAAACTCGATATTGATTAAAAATGAGAGAGTAACAAGTGGTGGCTTTGTGGATTCGTTCTTGTTAAGTCAATAGGGCTGCTGTCTGGTCAAACAGAAATCTAGAAAACGTACTAATTAAAAATCGTATGCCATCACTCACAAGCAAAGTATAGTGAGTCAGAAGTATATGTATACACCATGTGTATGCGAGGTGTAACAGTTGATACCATTTGAAAAGAACAAGGCAACATAATGAAGTAGTTTTTCCCGTGAGAAAGTGACAACATGCTGAATCACCTTTCTTGCAGAGTGAATATAAATATAACGTGTTAGTGGTTCATTTCGGGAGAAGACACTTTACTCGAAAATGTCTGACAATCACATCCACACTACGTTTGAGTGGGCTGCTGGCCATTGGCTGTCCATCAACTTGTTCCGTGATGATGCTTGGGTGCATCTTTCAAACTACAACAGCAAAAAGGAAAGGAAACCCATTTCCTTGAAAAGCAGTGTATTTAGAAAACTGACTGAAGATCGCGAACAAATTCTATCTGCTTTGGAGGACTATTTCAAGTGCTTTGGCTATTATTATTATTATTATTATTATTATTAATTTATCCTTCCTTTTCAGCCATCGTGGGGTACAATGCTCAGTGAGACGAGAAAGGAAAAGACTGCTTCGGCGTAGATTGCATCGCGGGTATTATCGACACATACGCGAGCATCTCACTGTGTTTTCTAAAATAAAAGCATATTTTTAATCAGAATGTGTGTATGTTTTATGTTTCAATTCGCAGTTATTCGCTCTCATGGTCTATCAATGTGATATGAGCCACTAGTGTGATACGAGTTACCTCCCTTGGATCACGAGGGCAGGCCGCTCGCTTCACCCGTCTTTCGGTGTATGTATTCATGCCAGCCAGCATTCATTGTTTCTTCACTGTCAATAGTGTATTACCTCCCTTACACCGGTAAGCCGTTCGTCTGCAGGTATCCGGTGTAGCCGAACGGTTTGACCGTTGTTTTTCCAGCTAAGTTTACTACATGATGATATATAAGAAGAAATTAAATCCAGCCATGTACAATTGATGGAATAAATATGATTAAACCAAATATGAACTGAGCGAATGGTTAATTCAAACGGAATATATGGAGGAATGATTAATGAAACAGTGTTGTACAGTCATAAGGTAAGTTCACTTATTTTCATTATTACTATTACATCAATTAGTTTGTGTCATAAAGCAGAAAACATACGAATTACACATCTGCAGATGGGTATAATGTATACTTTCTACTCAAGTTCTAACATAATGGCGAACACAAGTAACAGCGATATTATCTAGTTGGTGATCGCCTGAAAGCAACATTTAACCCTTAATGTTACGTTAGCACACTGAAACAGATAAAAAGTTAAAGAGTGATAGAAATGTTAATAGATAAAGGTTAATAGATATAGGTGAATGAATACCGCTATAAACAATAACATAATATTTTAACACTTAGTGAAACGTGAATGAAGTAGAGAAAAATGTTTATAAATGAATTGACATCGGTGAAAGGGTTAACAGGTTCAGCGGCTAAAACCCACACACGAATAGATTTACTCTTGCGTGTAAAGCGTGGGTGAGAGAGCTACCCCTAGTGTATTGATACTAATGTGCGGTGACATAGTTACATGTTTGAACAGAGCGAATATATACAGAGCCAGCCTTACTGCTAGTCTCCTTTAGCAAAATTTGCTTCTATTGTGTGAAAGGTATTGACTGGCCTCTGTGGTATGCTCCACAAGAATGCTTTTGTTTGTTTCTTTACTCTAACGCTCCACAGGAATGCTTTTGTTTGTTTCTTTACTCTACGCTCCACAGAAATGCTTTTGTTAGAAAAATTCCATGCTCCACAGGAATTTGTTGAAATTCTATGCTCCACAGGAATGCTTTTGTTGGTGCTCCACGCTCCACAGGAATGCTTTTGTCCGGAAGGTATTACTTTCTCTCTACTACCGCTCTCAATGCGTCATATTACCACTCTCGAAAAAAAGGGCAATCGTGGTGTATAAGATAACACTGAAAAAGTAGTCAACTTGACATGCATGTCTTTAGATGCTTGCTACAACAGCTTTATTAATCACAGCGAAGTAGATTTCGCTTGACAAAATATTATCGCTCCGCTCTTATATGTAAATGTACCTGGGAATCTATGCACTGCATAGACATTTGCATTTATCCTAAATGACTGGCTTTCCTTTGTTTCGAAGTTCTAAACAACGAAAGTAGCTCTTCTTGTCTCGCCTCTATCTATAAAGAGAAGCCAACTCATCAACTTCAGCGAATTCAGCCTGGTTCCCTGGGTATGTAGAACAAGCGCAGCATACCCAGGGACCAGGCTGGAGTGAATTTTGAGTGATTATTTTACGGCGCTTCACGTCTTTCGCACGTCGATGTTAATGGCGTAAACATAGATAATATTGCTAAAACAGTCAACACTGTCGTCGTGGTTTTCAGATTGAACCCATGTCAAGGAAATAGAGTTGTGAATACATGAGATTTCAGGTTATAATTGTTTAATGTCGTTACAGCACGGAAAATAACATTTATGGCAGTGACCTTCACCCCTTAACATATCCGGTTGTAAGAAAGACGTGTGAGTTTTAAAAACATTTACATTTGTTTTAATTCATAATGAAAGGGGTAGAAAAGAAGGGATGTGAAGCGATCTTACGTAAACTTGACCAAGAAGAAGTTATGTCATTGAAAGACACTGTCACAAAGCGGCAGATTGCAGCTGAAAATAAAACAGGTTTGTAGGCTAGAACTCCAAATGGCCTCATGTCGTCATGACGGAAGATAGGCTACACATTAACTGTATAGGATGTAGGACTACTGCACTTTACCATGCTTATTGGACTATTTATATCTTGCAAGTGTTGAAACATTGCGGGTACCGATCGGAATTTCCGGCTTGTCTAAGGCTACATGGGAAGGTGCTGTCGTTCCCATGTACCGTGCATAGCGCAAAAGATACGAGTGTCTGTGGTCCCATGCAGAGGAGCAAATGCTGGTTATGCGATAAATAAATCCAAATTAATTTACAAATTTATCATTGTCTCCTGATTTGGGTCTGAAATGAACCTGTTGAAACTAAGGGTAATTTGTTATTCTAATTAGCCAACACTTTACCATGGTTGATATCACAAATAATTAGTGCACTTATAGCCTACCTGATGATCAGCGTCTGATTGTTTACCTAGATGCACTTGCAGGGTAGCCATTTTTTTCCTCAAACTTGAAAGTTCATTTACATGACATGGGTTTACTTTAAAATAATTAAATTTTCGTTGTGTTCATTGCAACTCATACAATCTGATAAGCTGAATTGGTCACGTGTTATTGCATTCATTTCCCAATGAAGGTAAATGATTAAGCCACGCCCACGCCACGCTTAATATTACAGTCGAGGGAATGCCCTTTCTGCTCGTGTGTATTGTCATGCACAGGGCATATAGCGAAATTCATTCATATTCATTGTCCAAACAACCCTTTGAGACCGAATGCAGAGAAGGAATGAAAAAGCAAATGATCAGGCTCGCTCGACTGTTATTTTTCCCGCTCGCCTCGATTCCACAATTTTCATGTCTTCAGGTTTTATTCCTAATTGGCATTTTCCTTGTGTGTCTTCCTGTTCTCCAGGAACAAATGTTTGAATCTGGCAGTAACTGACCATGTCATATGAAACACCCGCCTTCTCCCGGGAAATATCTGTTCCGGTTTGTTCAGTCTTACTGTTGCAGTTCTTCTCACCTCTTGCCTTGATTGACAGTTCCTATGAACATTGTTTGGATCCTACTCTCCATTGATTGGCTACTGACTTTGTACACCTGTCAAGTTATGTGCATAAACTAAACAATCACCTGATTCATGTCATGCCACAGTATGTATTCCTACACCTGGAGTATTTATCAATCTCGGCATTTTTGTCTGCTTTGATATATACAAATGTGTTTGGTTAATCTATTGGAGATGTTTTCATTGTCAAATTTAATTATAAGGATTAACTGTGAATTTTTTTCGGTTAATTGAGGTTTTTCGACTCCTACCTCAATGAACCCCCCAAAATACACAGTCAATCCTTAATTACAATGTATTACTTCATTTAAAAGGGTGAGATTCCTAACCCTAATCCTGAGGCTTGTAAACGATAGTGTCCTTAGTCATCAGGATAAGGAATTATCGACTGAGTTAACTCCCTTGCGGCATGGCATGTTGTCTGCTGATCAAACCAGATTTTTTGCTATTATTGTTAACAGTTTGGCATTGGATATGTACATCAATACCATGATTGCACTGTTTTTTTGTGGTTATTATCATGATTATAGTACATTATCAGGATACGCTTCTTTTCCATCAAGATTGCCTTCTGTAACATGTGGTTGATGCATGTCATCGTATCCCATTGCGTGGATCGATGCTCGTGATGTCAATCGCTGGATTGTCTGGTCCAGACTTGATTATTTACAGACCGCCGTCATATAGCCGAAATATTGCTCAGTGCGGCGTTAAATAACAAACAAACCAAACAAATCTGAAACGTGTGATGGAAATCTATTTGCAGATGCCATTCGTGCTATAATAACATACAGTGAAACATCGGGTGAGCTGCTGAGGAGGAAGAAGATTCGCAGGGAGCTGTTGTTCCAGTACCTCGATGACAACAATGTTCCCGTCTCAGTGAATGCTGAAAAACACCAGTTAATCCTGAAAATACTGGAGTACTGGGGTGTCAGTGTCAGCAATGGTACCCAAAACAAACAGGTATGCTAGATTTATGAATCAGAACAGACTTTTTGTATACATGGTATGACCTACCAGTCACTCCACCCCACACACAGGTCAGTAGATGAATGATATGAAATTTTACCTTCTTTACCAGCCAAACATTTTCTTCTTTATGCTGTTTTATGTTATAGCATTGAAAACAATCATCAAAATAATAGATAATTTATTTACTTGGCATATGTGTGCTTGAAACTGTATTGATGCTCAGGATCTTCTGTTTAATATTTGAACTATGATGCCCAGGAATCTGTCATATTAATTCTGTTGTCACCACAGAATATGTTGGAAGTTTTACTGGAATATCCAACTGATAATCATGATAATGATAAGCCAATTTATGATTTATCAGATTCCAGTCACCAAGTGGGGCCAAGGGTGATTGTGGTTCCAATCCCAGTTCGCCCCAATTCTAAGTTTGTGTCAGCACAATACCAATGTTCGTAAAAGTCTTGAGGCCTACATCACTTTAGACCTTCCTCTCAAATAAGCTGACATACTATGATAAAACTGGATTGCTGTTAAAAGTGTTGTTAAACCCAATTCACTCACTCACTCCCATTCACCAAGTGGATGCTCATAGTGCTATGTTAATATTAGTCCGGTCAATGGATCAGTGTGCAGTCAAATTTCATTCTCAGCTCTCTGAGGAGTATTTAATCAAAGTGTTTAGACATTGTTTACAAATTAGGTGTTAAAACATTGTAGCTTAAACATGTTACATCAATGAGAAGGATGAATCTGGCTAAATCAAACACTTTATCAATCTGTGTACTGGCTGGCGACCATTCTCCCGGAGGACCAATTATCGCCAACTCACCGTCATGGTGCACACGTGATAGCATCTGGTTTTACTTTTGCTCGATTTCATTCGAAGAGAAGAATATTTGTCCAAAAGTGATGAAAAAAACCAACTCTTGTGAAGAAAGATTAAAAAACCAAACCATATATAATCACCTTATTCAATTACAATTTTGGAAGAGATGTGCACACAGTGTTACATGACTAATTCGGGCATACAGTAAAACCCAGACACGATGATGCATTTTCAGTTGTCATAACTTACTATCTGTCATTTCTTCCCCAAATTACAATTCCTCTTCAACTATTTGTCCATAAATGCATAACCCTGTTTATATCGTGAAATCATTAGTACAGGGTGTTGAGGATTAGCATGTGTAAATCGAATTTGAGGACTATTGGTGTACGTCAGTTTGCAGACGACAAATTGATAAAAGCATTTCTTATTAATTGTAATGAATATAAAAATTGAATGTGACATGTAATTTGTGTAACTGAAGCTGTCCACGTGATTACGTGGCACATGCTGTTTAGATGATGGCAATTACTGGTACAGTTGGTCGTTAGGAAATTTCTGTTTCCACGGTTTTGATCCCTGTTGTCGCATTGAAACAGAAATCTACGGATTTTCTTTTTCCACAGACAGAAACACACGCATTTCCTCATAGTTCCACACAAATCAAAGTTATTTGCAGTTAACTTTGTGCATGTAATATTTCAGAAATAACATTGAATAAATGGTGATAACTAGTCAGTGACCAGTACATCTTTACATCAATACATGGTGCAGGTGCACAATTTCTGAAACAGGTGCATCTTATCGCTGTATATGTCTGACTTATCCTGTAACCATGGTAACAACTAGCTAGTTTCAGTTTCACATAGAATCTTTCAGTCAGACACATAACGTCATGAAGTGTAACATTGATTCATACAGATACAGGGCAGTCGTGTAGCCTAGTGGTTAAAAGCGTTTGCTCATCACGCCGAAGACCCGGGTTCGATTCCCGTCATGGGTACAATGTGTGAAGCCCATTTCTGGTGTCCCCCCGCTGTGATATTGCTGGAATATTGCTAAAAGCGGTGTAAAACCAAACTCACTCACTCATACAGATACAGGACATAGTCATAGATAGGGAATAGTTGCTTCAGAGCTGTTCCCTTCTTGTTGTAGCCAGACTGAAAATCCTTTTACCTGACTGAAATTCATGTGAGCTTATGTCTTGGCGCATTGTCATTCATTTGTCTGTACAAGGCCTATGAACACAATGAAGCAGAAATATTGCAAGTATGGTCCTTGCTATGGTGTCTTTTACAAGATGGCGACTGGTCATTCAGACAGCTGGATTTTATTATGAGCAATGATAAGTTGTTTTTTGTTGGTTTCACAGGCTAACAGTGCAGGTGGAGACTTCAGTCACAGCACGACAGAATGTCAGACAGATGTTCCCAGCAGGACGTCCAGTGGAACCCAGTCACCGCCTCCTGACGCTGCAGCCAAACACTCCATGGCAACCCAGGCTGGAGAAACACCTCCAGATACACAGATGCAGCTGCGGCAACAGCATCAGCCTGTTCCAGTACCTGTTCCTTTAGTCCTCGACCTTCAGGAAGATGAAGCATCCTCTGTGGTAGTCCCACCACCTGCTGCAGCAATGAGACTCCAGCCTCAACCCGAACATCAAAAGCTTGGAGAAACGTTTGTGTCGTGGTTCTACAAGATACTGAACTCGCACAATCCATCATTGAATCAGGTTCCCGAGGATTTTGGTCCACATCACTTCTGGAATGATGTGAAGTTGTATCTGCTGACTCGAACTCCTCATGAGAGCAGTGAGGAATATGAAGGAGGTGTATTGGTGTCACAGAGGTTCCTGGCTTTAGTGAAGGAAGAGCAGCTCCTGTTCAATCCTAACGTCACTGGAGATGGGGTGCAGGTCAAGTCTGATCCTCATGGACTGGTCATAATCATGGTGTGTGGAACAATTCACAGGAGTAATGATTGCCTAGGGGTCTTTCAACAAATGTTTGGGTTAATAGGTGATCCAAGGTATGACAACAACTGGAAGGTGAAGGTCACTAAGCTGAGGATTCAGAGCAGTCAAGTGACGTCTATCCCGAGGCTTCAGGACAGTGATAATAACGATTTGTTGGCCGTCATACCTTCTTCCACCAGATGATGGATTCTGGTCATATGTGTGCCAAATAAAGTAATGTTGATATGGTGATGGATGCAAACTTGGTCGCTTGAGCTTTATGTTTATTAAATACATGTCTCTGTGCTAGTGAACTATTTGTATGTATGCATATACTGATGATGCTTATGGAATGGTATATTGTCAGTTTCTGGTTTGCAAGGATTGCTTTCATGGCAGGTTACCACGGTAACAGTGATATCCAAGTTAACAAAAGCACCTGTTAGCTTTTCAATATGAATATTGAGACAGACAGATCGAATGTTGGCATGGGTAGCCCATCTCTTTCCTCACACAAAGATGAGCACACAAGATATACACTCACTCACTTGCACATAAATGAGCCATATTGTCATGATTACAGCACACAAGATATACACTCACTCACTCACTCAAATGAGCCAATATTATCATGATTACAGCACACAAGATATACACTCACTCACTCAAATGAGCCATATTATGATAATAGCACACAAGAAATACAAAAGCTCACGTAGATGGTAAGCATGTACTAGTATCAGATATGGAAATCATGTAACAGAGATGGTAAGCCTGTATCAGAGTGAGGCTAGGCATGTGTCAGAGATGTGGAAAGCCTGTATCAGAGATATGGTAAGCATTCATCAAAGATATGGTAAGCATGTATCAGAGAGATGGAAAGCATGTATTGGAGAGAGGGAAAGCATGTATCAGAGATAGGGAAAGCATGTATCAGAGATAGGGAAAGCATGTATCAGAGAGAGGGAAAGCATGTATCAGAGATGTGGAAAGCATGTATCAGAGAGAGGGAAAGCATGTATCAGAGATGTGGAAAGCATGTATCAGAGATATGGTAATAATGTATCAGAGAGAGGGAAAGCATGTATCAGAGAGATGAAAAGCATGTTTCAGAGAGATGGAAAGCATGTATCGGAGATATGGTAAGCCTGTATCAGAGATGTGGTAAGAATGTATAAGAGAGAGGGAAAGCATGTTTCAGAGAGATGGAAAGCATGCATCAGAGATATGGTAAGCCTGTATCAGACATATGGCAAGCCTGTATCAGACATATGGTAAGCATGTATGAGAGATATGGTAGGCATGTATCAGAGAGATGGTAAGCATGTATCAGAGAGATGGGAAGCATTTAACAGAGATGGAAAGCCTGTTACAGATATGGTAAGCATGTATCAGAGATTGAAAGCATGTAACAGAGATGGAAAGCATGTAACAGAGAGATGGTAAGCATGTATCAGAGATGTGGAAAGCATGTTTCAGAGAGAGGGAAAGCATGTTTCAGAGATATGGTAAGCCTGTATCAGACATATGGTAAGCATGTATGAGAGATATGGTAAGCATGTATCAGAGAGATGGTAAGCGTGTATCAGAGAGATGGTAAGCATGTATCAGAGATGGAAAGCATGTAATAGAGATGGAAAACATGTAACAGAGAGATGGAAAGCATGTAACAGAGATATGTTAAGCATGTATCAGAGATGTGGAAAGCATGTATCAGAGAGAATGAAAGCATGTATCAGAGATGTGGAAAGCATGTATCAGAGAAATGGAAAGCATGTAACAGAGATGGAAAGCATGTATCAGAGAGAGGGAAAGCATGTATCAGAGATGTAGTAAGCATGTATCGGAGAGATTATAAACCTATTCAGATTGATTTGATATTTTGGTATCATGTCTGGTTTGCCTCCTATTTACAAATGATAATCATGCTACTAATTGTTAGATATCAATGTATGTACCTTCAATTTGTTTAAGGTATTGTTGGAAGGTAAATATATGTTATCATTGTTTGACGTTTTAGTTTTGTGTTACTGTTGCATTTACCATTAAATCCACATCAGAGGGAATAATAAGTAGTAAATATCTACAGGAACAGATTCCATAGGGTGTAAAAGAGTGATGACAATTTTATCAACTGATCACTGACAATAAGTGATGACACCAGGTGTTCGCATAAATGGAAAGCTTGTCCTGCCCCTGGTAGTACCAACAATTCACTCAATTTTATTAAAAACGTAATCAGATATTGTGGACAAAAATGCTTTCCTTGAAACTAAATGTCAAGTAGACACAAAAGGCTTATTTCAAATCCCAACTTGAAAGTCATTTTGCTGAGACCATAATTCCAGAGCATATCTGAAGAAAATGAGAAAATAGTTAACTTCTACTAGCATGTTATTTGGGTGTCAAATGATTTTGTATAATGGACAAGAAAATCCTACTCTCCTCATCCTTGCTGGCTTGTCTATTGCCTCTCTCTAGCTTGGCACAATGGCAGCTGACAATCATTACATGGCTGACTGCCTCCAAGGTAAAGTGGACAGAGCCGGCAAGAGAAAGTTCGGAGATCAATCCCGGTTGCCATATCAAAAGGCGTTAAAATGTGGTACATGTTGTTACCCTTCCTGGCACTCAGCATTATCGGGACAACACTGGTCAGTTCTTAGTCAATATACTGTATCCATATTAAAACTGTGACATGGTAGCTCAGTGGACTAGTCCGGACTAGTATCCGCACACACCCCCACATGTGCACATGACTATGTAACTGTAATGATCTGGAATTCAACATTTAACCCGATTTCACCTGACCTCACCTCATTATATGACTGAAATAAACAACCTTCAAACCAAAGTAGTTGAACAACCATATCTGTCTTAGTGATGGGACATTTTCAAATGTAAGTCTATCCAAACTTTTGAAACATAGAAATAAGTTAATTCAAATAGTATTTGACTGCAGATAGTGTGTACTGAATGATGTGTTTACTGTCGATGTAATGAATACTGTCAAATGTCCCTCCTGGGGTTCCATCCAATACTGGGACCCTGACAACGGTGACAACACAATCATGTTTATTATCCTTGAGGGAACACATATACAAATAAATAGTCATTTACCAGCAAATCTATTTTGATGACTCGCTGACCACATACACCAAAAAAGCAGCCTGTCGCAATCCTGCCGAAATGTTAATATTCACAGTGTTTGAAACAAACACATTAAACTGATGGTAAGATAGTGTGGATAATCTGCTTCTTTATTACAACTGTAGCAAGGTCATCCATTCTAACTTGCCAGTTACACATCAAACTTATAAATGACACTCAAAGATATGGAAAATTATAAACATTGCCCATTGACATTCCTATTAACAGGCGGGGCCGTCGGGTAGCCTAGTGGTTAAAGCATTCGCTCGTCACGCCGAAGACCGGGCGGGTTCGAATCCCGACATGGGTACAATGTGTGAAGCCCATTTCCGGTGTTCCCCGCCGTGATATTGCTGGAATATTGCTAAAAGCGGCGTAAAACCAAACTCACTCACTCAATCACTTTTAACAGGCGATGTTGTATTATACGCACTCATCACCGAGTTTGGTTCAAGACATGCTTTAGCCTCCTGCCTGGATTAAATGCAGGAATGTAAACACTCGGGATAGTCAGGATGCATGGGCTCCGTGTAGCTTTGCATTGTGATAATGGGTTAATTCTCAAATTGATTAATAAAGCGTAGTAAGTCGTTTCTTTATCACGTTAATGGTGTAGTAAAGCCTTGTAATATCAACATAGGGAAACCTAGTCTGTGGTCTTGTTTTACTGTGACGGTGAGTGTGAGGAAACAATTTCCATTCTGCACGTCTGTGCCTGACACGAACGGGAGACGCGCATGGTTACGATCTCAGGTCAGTGGTTGAAATCCTACTGCGTTACATTTGGCTTCAAGGGTTCTCTCCCCTTGATCAGAAGTCCACTCCGTGGCTGAACCCGTATGTTCGTCTGATGCTCTCCCTTGCTCCTGTTGGGTTATACTGTTAAAAGATAAAATGATATACAGAAACTCAGTTTAGCCACGTTAGTTACACTTCCTTTATAGGTAGATGAGGTGTAATTAGTGGCACTTAATTAGAGCTGGGGCGATCTAGATTTACCAAATCATTCTAGACTTCATTATCTAAATATATATTGCCACGAGTCAATTGTTAACCGGAATCCAGATCAACACGATGTAAACCTGTACCATCACATTAGCGTTATTCGTATCTTTGGTTAAAAGTAATCATTGATCAGCAAAAGAAAACCCCATCATATATAACGGTTAATAATCACGGCAAATGAATATGACAATATTAATATAGCGATTACTAAGCTGCCTGGCAACAGAAAGTATACACCCATGTTTGGTGGTGGCAAAAAATGAAACAAACAAGAAGCAGATATTCGGGTGTACGGGTATTATAATTGTGTTTTCGGCCTTTAGTTTGCAGTGTTTCGGCGACTGTTTTGAGCCTAATAGCGTTTTGATCGATCCAAATTTCAAGTATACACTTTCTTTTTCCCTCTAGTTATATAAATAAATTACTATCAAGGCCGTAGTTAACCTAGGATTATTCATTTTACATTCAAGTTAACTTTCACAAGGAATTTTTTTTCTATAAAAAACCAGGGGGGCAACTGCCCCAAAACACACCCACCCACCCCACCCCCTCTGCTCCCCCAGGCTGGCTACGGCAATGACTATCCGTGTACAAATGCAAATCAGCTTAAGCTAGCGACTGCATTAGCATACATGTAAAACGAATCTCGTGTCGTGACAAAAAAGAAAAGAAAAAAAAATTGAAGTAAAAGTTCAATTAGTGAAGATTTGAAGTGTACCCTCGTGCATATCTACTTAGTTGTGGTTAGTGTGCAAAGTGCAGGTGTTGATGTGGTACCTCTATCACATAACGATTGAAGGAGTGTGTTGGGTAACTGCCGCCATTACGCCTAGACTGCTCGTACATGCGTATCCATGACAACACTGCGGCCTCGCCAGCCAGCTGAAACCACACGTGAATCATCATACGTGCCCTTGGCCTTCAGTTATTAAATCAGAAACCGAGCTCTCATTTTTACCTAGGATCTTAATATTATCTTACATGATAATACGATACACTTACTCTTTAATACAGGACATGGCCCTTGCTAGCGAAATAAATGTTCAAAATTATTCAATTTTGTCTCCACTAACGGGGCGCGGTCGGATAACCTAGTGGTTAAAGCGTTCGCTCGTCACGCCGAAGACCCGGCTTCGATTCCCGACATGGGTACAATGTGTAAAGCCCATTTCTGGTGTTCCCCGCCGTGATATTGCTGGTTTATTGCTAAAAGCGGTGTAAAACCAAATTCACTCACCCTGCTAACGGACCCAATGATTTGGTCAGGCTTTTGGTGACATACCCCTTCTTTGGAGACGAGAAGAACAGCCAAGTTGCAAATACATACCTAACATTATTGATCAAGTTAGAAATTGGGTGTATATTTTCATGTGTGCGCAATTGAAGATTGTGTTGTATTATCTGTCGTCTGCTTTCTGTACCCAACCCGTTGTCATTGAGGAGCTCGGGTGGTCTAGTGGTCTGAGGCGAAACAGGTCGTGACCCCTAGCAAGCCAGGGTAGGTGGTCGTGCATAGCCTCGCAATGATCCTTGGTCTGTTGCACCCTTATGTACTGCTTGTGTGTTTCAACAAAGTAATAAACATCGACGAATTCGCCCTTTCGGCTTCCACCTATATTAAGCTGACACGTCGTGATCCGCTTGTAACTGAACTTACTCACTCACTCCAGGGTGTGATCTAGGTGAATATGCCGAACTATTTGTAGTCATGCTGTCAAAGGTCTGAGGCGTGATGGTAGAACTGGTCGTCTGTTTAGAGCGATTGAACCATAAAGTAACTACATGAGTGTGACTGGAACTATCCGAAATCGCTGCTAGTCCACTCACTGTTTTGACACGAGTGTCCCATTCGTATAAAGCGTCGCGGGTATCTTATCTGAGTTGCGTCGTAGATCCAGTGATCAAGAGTTCGAAAACTACATCCGCCCTGCGTATAATTCGTGGTTTCTCAACACTACACACGCACCTATAAGTTTCACCAAAGTGACTTCTGAGACCTGCATCACTTTAGCCTTTCCCCCAACAGTAAGCTGACACGCTGTGATATAACTGGAATACTGTTAAAAGGGGCATTCAACCCATCTCACTCACTATGTCTAGCATTAATCAATAATTACATTTTAAAAAACCGTGTTTACCTCCATGGATCTCCTCAAGTCGTTGGAGTATTGCCGTCTCAAGCTGTCTTCGTCGTAGTTCGTCCCCATCGTCGCCATCGTCGCCATCGTCACTGCAGTCGTCGCGTCTACCTCCCTGTTGCCACTGCTGTACACTACGGGCGCACTATCCTTGATCTGAACCTTCTTGCTACTCTTCGATGTCTTAGCAGCAACTATTGGCTTCGCCACGCGTTTCTTGGGACGGGTTGCTTTCTCTGCACCATACTCCTTGTATTCATACTCTCTGTATGGGGTGATGTACTGCTTGAACTTCACCTCCTCGTACGGTTTGTCGTAGGGTTTGTATTTATATTCCCTGTGCCTTATGTCCGGGCCAAGTGGCAACCCCATTGAGATTGGGATTTTCTCAGCAAATTGGTTTGTATTCTTGCCATGGTACTTGTTTCGTGATTTGGAAACTTTATTCATCTCCTCATAACTCTTATACTTGTACTCCCTGTACGGGATATCGGGGCCGGTAGGCATGGACATGGAGATGGGCAGCTTGTTGGCATAGTATGGTCCTTCTGTGACGGTGCCGCCATGGCGACTCTGGTTCGACTTGGCTCCCTGGAACCCGACGGCGACGGCCCTGGTGGTCCTGGGCGTGTCGTATTGGTAGGGTTGGGGCTGGGGGTACGTGGGGACGAGGTTTGGGTTGTACTGGTACTGGTTCGTGGGCACATACGGCACAAAGTCGTCGTCAATGGGTGCGACCCGTTTTACCCACATGGGTGATAAACCTGTCGCCATGTCCTGGCCGTTGCTGGAAGAAAAAACAGCGATTAAGTTTGTTTGTTTGTTGTTTAACGCCGCACCCAGCAATATCCCAGCTATATGACGGCGGTCTGTAAATAATCGAGTCTGGATCTGATAATCCAGTGATTGATATCATGAGCATCGATCTGCGCAATTGGGATACAATGACATGCATCAACCAAGTCAGCGAGGCTGACCACCCGATCCCGTCGGTCGCCTCTTACATCAAGCAAAGTCGCCGTTTACCGCAAGCATGGGTTGCTGAAGACCTATTCTACCCCGGATTTTCACGGTCCAGCGATTAAGCACAGAGACCGACAAACTAGGAGCATTTGCGACACTCAAGAAATCTAGTAATTTCTACGACTGACTACGTAGGTTTGTAAGTATAAAAAGGGGATATCATAGCCTTGTGAGAATAAACTGGGCGGCAAAAGAAAGTATAGGTAGAGTTCCATGATCGATAAGAAAATAACAAGAAGGAGTTTTCTTGTGAATTATAATATAATTTAGGGAGGGGTAACAAATGATTGATCAACCACAGTTTGAATGAATCTGTGCAATCACAGGTAATGTAAGATCAAGGTAAACAATGATGGGGTAAGAAATTTCATTTTCAAAAGTTGTCTGAAATGTCACCAAAAAATTGTCAGACACACTACAAGTTCATTGTCGACACAGTTGCCTTCAATAGCGTGTATGACCTCAATGCATGCTGTGATACGCCGCCTCATCGATGACGTCAGTCTTCTGATGACGTGGACTGGAATCCGTTGCAACTCGTCTCTCAGGGCCTGCTGCAATTCTTGTCTGTTGACGGGAGGCTGATGGCGTGCTCTAATCTATCTGTCAAGATGGTCCCACAGTCCCACAGATGTTCAATAGGATTCATATCGGTTGAGTGGGCAGGCCAGGGCAAAACGTCAACGTTCTGCTGGTTTAGAAAGTTCCGAGTCAAACATGCAGTATGGGGCCTGGCATTGTCGTGTTGAAACAATGTCCCCTGCTGTTGGCTTTGTAGGAACGGAAGCACAACTGGCTGCAACACTTGGACTCTGTACTGCACAGCGTTCAGGTTTCCCTGTATAATCACTAAATCAGTCTACTGATCTCCGCAAATACCGCCCCACACCATGACACCTCCCCCGCCGAATGGATAGACCTGTCGAATACACGCCGGAGCCAAAAGTTCCCCTCTGCGTCGATAAACTCGTTCTCTGCCGTGATTTCGAAACAAGTTAAACCGACTTTCATCAGTAAACAGCACTCGACGCCTGTTTCTCACTTGCCAGCGTCGAACCTGCCTCGCCTATCGCAGTCTCAGGCGTCGATGTTGAGCAGTCAGTACCATTCCTCGGAAAGGACGATACGCTCGGATTCCAGCAGCACGAAGTCGTCGTAGTACAGTACGTTGGCTAATGGGATGTCCCAACGCTGTTGCTGCCGTCGTCGCCGTCGCCGTTACGAATCTGTTTCGCAGGTGAATGAGCCGTATCTGACCGTCCTCCAGTGATGTTGTCACTTAGGGTCGTTCAGTTCTAGGCCTGTTCTGTGTCCTCCCTGTCTACCTATACCGTTGAATCAGCCTGGCTACTGTCAATGGTGTACAACCAAACCTTCTGCCAATTTGGACCTGTGTTGCCCCCATTTTGGCCATACCGATGGCTCTCTCTCTGCTCCTGTCACAGTCGTGGAATTTCTTTTGTGTGCTTTCATCACGTGTGGTTATACCCTGCAGGCGAATGCATTTATACAGCTAACTTGCACGTGCAGTTTATACCATAGGCGGGAAACCTGTTTCACCTTTTTTTTGTTACCGCACGAGCGCCGTCAAAGGTGGCGCCTTCGGGTGAGGTGTTTTTTGGTACCTGTTCCTGGGCAGTCATATACCCAAAAACCCACTTTCCACTAGTTATCGCTGTTTTTAGGAAAATTACAAATTGCCAACCTATACTTTCTTTTGCCGCTTAGTTTATATTAGGTTGCGCCTGATTTTATTCAACACTTACTATCCATGCTCAGTCGGAATTGACAATTGTTGGTTATCTTGGTCATTGATAATGGAGGAGTAAGAGATAGGAAATTAAAATACGTTCTCCAATTTTCCTGCAGCTGTGTAAAGGGGTAGGTGGAGCGAGAACGATTGCTTGTGAGTCATTTGGAAGGGCGTGGTTTTAGCACAGGTCTGTTTAAACCCCAGTTAAGCTTCTACATTCACGATTTTACATTTCATAATCAAGCTTCACTGCAAAATTGTCCAATACAGTACAGCGATTAGGTCTGTTTACGAGTATTTGAAAGAAATAATATCTCTCAATTGTCCAAAACAGAACACCAGTTAGGCCTGTTTACGAGTATTTGATAGAAATAATATCTCTCGATGTCTTATTGTCCTATAAACATACTTACCCAAGATTTAACATAAAAACATACATTTTGACATTATCTTTACTGTATTAGTTATCAACCACTAAGACAAGCTAATTATCATCAAGTTCTTTACCATTAAGCTAAAAATCCACATACAGAAACAAATACGCACCTCACTGGCTGATGAATAGTATTGAAATACTCTGATAGTAGATGAAGCAGTACTTCCCAATATTATGACAACGTCAGTGAACGCCAATTAGCTGCCTTCCGCTGTGTCAACAGGGAGCGTGATGTCGTGTCCTCCAGTCTCTAACGTGTTGACTTAGTACCTAGCGTTGCCTTCTTCTAAAAGGGCTCTAGTCATATAAATAAATACTTTCAGTCACACCCACATATGGGGTGACCTGGTCGCCAATACATGTTCAAATGTTTGTGAGACAGCAGCGATAGTCGACATGGGGTGGGGGGGTGGGGGTGGGGTGTGGGGGTGGGGGGTGTGGGGGGTTGGGGGGGGGGTGTGGTGGTGGTATTGCAATGGGACTATCTTATGTTTGTTTTAATATTGACTTAGTTTACATTACACCCGTAATGAGGTCATGGATTTTACAACCTCGTGTTGTATGTTCGATGACTTTCTATGACTGGGCTCTTTTCTACACAAGTGAGTAAATGGCTGAAGGTGCTAAGCTTGCTGCGCGAACCAACAATGGAACCAGTTTACGTGGTTCTAATACTCACAGTATTTTATTGAACACGTGCGCGCAATAACAATAATTATTTATGTCACATATAACGTTGTCGTCTATCGATATGGCACCTGATCCTGTGCACAGCGTGCCGGCAACAAATCGGGCGAAGTTACGTCGAAGGATTACATGGACCCGATAATAATGGTGTTTGCCTTTTGGATACATTAACGGATGGTCTACATTACAAATATTCATTTTTCATCATCATCATCATCATCATCATCATCATCATCATCATTATCCTCCTCCTCCTCCTCATTATTATTATTATTTTTATCATCATCATCATCATCGTTATTATCAGTATATATGTGTGTGTGTGTGTGTGTGTGTGTGTGTGTGTGTGTGTGTGTGTGTGTGTGTGTGTGTGTGTAAGGAATTCCTAAAAATTATATGCGCTAAGTTATTGTGTGTGGGTGAGTGGTCACCCTGCTGTGTCATGGCGATTGTACTTTAAATAATTCAATCAAGAATTAATTTCGTGGTCAGGCTGGGTTGATTGCAGGGGGTCGTACCCCGATGGAGCCTAACGGCGCTCATGTTGCACACTGGATTGTCTGGTCCAGACTCGATTATTTATAGGCCGATGTCATGTAACTGGAATACTGCTGAGTGCGGCGTTAAACAACAAACATCTTTTGAAAGTACCTTGGATATTTCAAAATCCTTTAAACAAATATTCTTTTTTTTACTCTCGTGTATTGCAATCACGGCTTGTCAGCTTAATGTGAAGGGAAAGCCAGAAGGGATGCATGTATCAGATGTTTACCACTTTGGTGAAACCCACGAGCACGGGTATGGTGCTGACAAACCTGGGAAGCTAATCGGGATGCGAACCCACGATCATACATACATACATACATACATACATACATACATACATACATACATACATACATACATACATACATACATACATACATACATACATACATACATACATACATACATACATACATACATACATACATACATACATACATACATACATACATACATACATACATACATACATACATACATACATACATACATACATACATACATACATACATACATACATACATACATACATACATACATACATACATACATACATACATACATACATACATACATACATACATACATACATACATACATACATACATACATACATACATACATACATACATACATACATACATACATACATACATACATACATACATACATACATACATACATACATACATACATACATACATACATACATACATACATACATACATACATACATACATACATACATACATACATACATACATACATACATACATACATACATACATACATACATACATACATACATACATACATACATACATACATACATACATACATACATACATACATACATACATACATACATACATACATACATACATACATACATACATACATACATACATACATACATACATACATACATACATACATACATACATACATACATACATACATACATACATACATGTTTCTGGCGTGCCCAACGGACGCAAACCTGGGAAGCTAATCGGGATGCGAACCCACGATCATACATACATACATACATACATACATACATACATACATACATACATACATACATACATACATACATACATACATACATACATACATACATACATACATACATACATACATACATACATACATACATACATACACACACACACACACACACACACACACATACATACATACATACATACATACATACATACATGTTTCTGGCGTGCCCAACGGACGCAAACCTGGGAAGCTAATCGGGATGCGAACCCACGATCATACATACATACATACATACATACATACATACATACATACATACATACATACATACATACATACATACATACATACATACATACATACATACATACATGTTTCTGGCGTGCCCAACGGACGCAAATCTGCACAGCGAATTGCGGCGCCTTAGACAACTGGGCAATCCGTTAAACCCATCTATCGGGGGTTCCCTTTCTCTTAAATGGTTTTTAAGTGGTAAAATAATTTCCGAAAAGTACCTCTTTTTTCTTCTTCCGCTTAGTGGAAGCTTATATGTCACCACGAAATACTTGAATAAACGCCAGAATGGCGAACGCTGCACTGAAAATCTATGCAAGCATGAACGAAAATCAAGCATTTATTTTTTTACCATATACACATAAAGCAGGTTTTTTTTTCAGATATCCGAAATCCAAGAGCTCAAAACAACCTTGGTTTAATTAGTTCCATATGGACTCAATAACTCGATGACTTGGTTGAAATGTAACCATGTTTATTATGTAACCACTTGGTGATATGTAACCATGGTTATTATGTAACCACTTGGTTAATATGTAACCACTTGGTTATATGTTAATATGACTTGGAAAAAATGAGACATAAAAGTATGAAAATCAATGTATTTTGAAAAGACAGATTTCAGGTTTGAACTCTGTTCTCGTGAATATTTTACGATTCCGTCTCACTTTTCCAATGCATTAAGCAGATTAGAGTGAGCTCCCTTTGTTTACAAAGGCGATTTCTCAGTACATTTCTGGCGCGTCGTTTTGAAACAAGGATATCACAGTTCATGAAAGATGTCTGGTAATTATTATTAGTTCATTTGCTTGTGTGTGTCCCCGGACGATGATTGTACACCGACGCCGATATCGCCCAGTGACACTTTACAGAGTTGCACACATTCCCAACAAACACAAAACACTACAGTTATGCGTACAAATGAGCAGAGAATATATCATCAGTCATATAGTATTCAACATTTGTGGTTCTTACCCACCCTTGACTAAAGATGATTATGAGACAGTAGTCTGTCAATGAAGAACAAAGACGCTAGTTATGACATACATCATTGCATGGTATCAGCTGGGTATTATTACAGTTGAAGGGGTCGTTGTTGGCACAAGTATTAGGCCTACAGATATGTACCCACGGTACGTTTGTGTATACAGAACTGTAGCCAAGCCAAAATCAGAATACATAATCGTACCGGTACCTAAACGGCCGACGAGTCCATATTCCTCAACCCGAAACCGAAACCGGTTCATGTTGCAGTTCTCAGTTCTGGTTCATGTGATGATGAGTGCATGCTGGATAAATCTTAGACTAACATTTAGTCTCTGAAATCTTATATTACACAATATCCTTCTTGACTCTAAAAATAAAATAAAAATCCCTATGCTGATTTGAATAGAGCTAGCTTGAGCTGGCTAGACTTGCTTTTGTGTGCATTTCTAGATTATTATTTTTTCATAAAATAAATATATTCCACGGTCATGGTGCAGGACTAGATAAATCTGTGCATCATGGAATATTAGAGTAATGTAGATGTCTTACTGTGTTTGCTCGTTTTTTATATAGTACACTTTAATGCATCTCATACAACACTATGACAGCACTAAGGCCAGTTAAAGAAGAAGTCTTGTATCTTGTGACCTTTTTCAAAACTGATTGGGTAAGGAGGAGTTCCTTATTTTGATTTTGTAATTTGGTTGAAATTGACAAAGTAGACACAATTTATGGATGACAACTTCTTTAATACTGTAAAAGGCGACGTTTCGGTATAGACCCTTCTACCGTTGTCAAGCAAACCTTAAGGACCTTTTAAAGAAGTTGTGTCTAAATTGTGTCTACTTTGTCATCCGTCAACTTCTAAGTAATGTCTATCTGTTTGATAGAGCCCAGCAGTTAGGGAGGATTCCCCACACTCATATTTGCAATTTCAACCAATTGTTTATTGGTTGAAATTGCAAATATGAGTGTGGGGAATCCTCCCTAACTCCCGGGCTCTGTTTCAGTAGACCTACACTAACCCCTGGATCCAACCCGTGGTTCTTGCAATCCCAAGTTACCCACTCTTGGTTTTCATTAACATTTTACCAACCAATCAAACATTGATATGAGCATGATTAGGAAAAAAGGAAATGTTTGAGGGACTTTATGGACATGTGGTCGACTCAGGATTCTGCCGTTAATTTATATCTTTAGAGTGAGTGAGTGAGTGAGTTGGGTTTAACGCAGCTTTTAACAGTATTCCAGTTATATCGCGGCGTGTCAGCTTAATGTGGGAGGAAAGCCTGAAGTGATGCAGGTCTCAGACGTTTACCACTTCGGTGAAACCCACAAGCACGGGTATGGTGCTGACAAACCTTAGAAACATAATCGGCGCGAACCGGGATTCGAACCCACAATCATAGGTTTCTGGCGTGCCCAAGGGACGCCATTCTGCACAGCGAATCGCGGCGCTTTAGACGACTGGGCCACCCGTGCCCCCTATTTCTTTAGAAACGTAGCAGGTGGTTAGTTTAAGAGGAATTGGGAATCTCACGTAGTACCTACCTTTGAAGTCCTTATTGTCCTTATTGAGAGAGTCGGGATGTAAGGAGCGTGGTCATTGGTTGTGTTCGTTTTCCTGGTCACATGGTCCGCTGTGTCGGCTGTATACGCCTATCCTTCATAGGGAATCGTGAGTTGTCCTTTATCCAATATCTGGTAAAGTATAGTCAGCTCCCACGTCCTGCAGCAAGACCTTTTCCCTTTCATACATCTAGTATTTTCTTGTCTTGGATAATTGTTAGATTAGTGTCAGATATGGATGGGGAGAAATAGTATAGGAGTTGGATAGGTTTGTTGTAGGATATTTTATTACGTATGTTAGAGGGGTGGATGTAATATAAAGTTCAGTTGTTGTATGACAGTTTCACATAGGCAGGGAAGTGGGGAAAGTATGTAGGTTTTTCTCTATATCATGTATATTAAGGTCAATAAGGTTTGTCCCTGTTTTCTGTTGAAGTAGTAAACTCCAGGTTAGACTTCATTCCTTTTTATGTTTATTTTTCCATGTCTATAAGTAGAGTGGATAACTTGGTCAGGAGCATTGCAGGAGATATAAGCAAAAACATACTCCTCAGGGAGAAGAGAACACAACGCAAAGCACCACAGTAAACATCAGTCATTTGCCATCTTTTCATATTGTTCTGTCACTGCGCGCCTATTAGAGGGAGCCTATTACAGATTTGGTTCCATTATACCAAATTTGGAGACGTTAGACACCTATTACAGACACAAAGACTTCCTTTCATCAAACAGATTTTTTAGGGCTATCTTTTGCGTGTCAGTCAGTTTTTCAATGTTTAATGTTTCGCAAACTCTGTATGAGTAATTATTGGGACCGGCTGCTTCAATATTGAAACTGGTCGACAAAACACATTCTGATTGGTCCGTTCAACTGAGTAGCGTAGCAAATCGAATTGGTTATTGAAGATTAAATATCGTGAGAACCATGGGAATGGATCCAGGGGTTTGTGTGGGTTAAGCATGTTTACCGAAACGTGAGCCCTGCAGATATAGAGGATGGAGGGTGGGGTTGGTGAGGTGGACTTCAGGAACATGTAACCATGGTAACTAAGAATATTAGTTCCATGGTCCTGTGAATGGACAGACACTGTGAGCAAAAGACCTTAACAATAGTCAGTATTGGAAAGTGTGTTTATTTTAAGATTCAACTTATAGTCACCATCATAAATGCTTAATCTTGTTAAACAATTGTGTTTGCAGGTGCCCTTTTTGACCTAGATAGGTTAGAGGCCAATGCAAGGGAGGTGGAGCGAAGTCAGAAAGAGGTTGAACTGGCGGACAGGAAGTCCCACCACCTGCAACAGAAGATACTCACTTTACAAGCTCGTCGGAACGAACTCCGCACCCAGCTGCCACAGGTTACATCTCAGGTGAAGAATGTGGAGTGATGTACCAACGTCAAACTAGTTATAGCTTCATTCATTGAATTTTAGCACCTGGCACAGATTAAAATCTGTTAAGATTTTCATGATCAGTGTTGTATGGACTTGTAACATTTACAATATGGACACTGACTATTCAGTGTTGTTGTGTTGTTGTTGTTGGCTGGTGTGTTGCACACACTCGGTATCACTGTTGTTGTTGCAGCCTCCTGACCTGGAAGCCGCCACTAAAGAGGGCAAGAAACTGATGTCTGCCCTGAAGAAACTCCGGCAGCTACAGGAGATCCAGAAGCTCTACAGGCTGACAGGTGAGTCCATGCATGGTCAGCAACATACCCAGCAACATGCTCAGCAACAAACCCAGCAACATGCCCAGCAATATGCCCAGCAACATGCCCAGCAATATACCTAGCAACATGCTCAGCAACATACCCAGCAACATACCCAGGGATATGCCCAGCAACATGCCCAGCAACATGCCCAGCAACATGCTCAGCAATATGCCCAGCAAGATACCGAGCAACATGCTCAGCAACATGCTCAGCCACATACCAAGCAACACACCCAGCAACATGCCCAGCAACATGCTCAGCAACATGCCCAGCAACATACCCAGCAACATGCTCAGCAACAAACCCAGCAACATGCCCAGCAATATGCCCAGCAACATGCCCAGCAATATGCCCAGCAACATGCCAAGCAACATACCCAGCAATATGCCCAGCAACATGCCAAGCAACATACCCAGCAACATGCCCAGCAACATACCCAGCAATATGCCAAGCAACATGCCAAGCAACATGTCCAGCTTCATTCCCAGCAACATGCCCAGCATCTGCCCAGCAATATGCCAAGCAGCATACCCAGCAACATGCCAAACAACATGCCCAGCAATATGCCAAGTAACAAGCCCAGCAACATGCCAAGCAACATGTCCAGCTTCATTCCCAGCAACATGCCCAGCATCTGCCCAGCAATATGCCTAGCAGCATACCAGCAACATGCCAAACAACATGCCCAGCAATATGCAAAGTAACAAGCCCAGCAATATGCCAAGCAACATGCCCAGCAACATACCCATCAATATGCCAAGCAACATGCCCAGCAACATGCCCAGCATCATGCCCAGCAACATGCCCAGCAACATTCCCAGCATCATGCCCAGCAATATGCCAAGCAACATGTCCAGCAATATCCCCAGCAACAAACCAAGTACAAATAAAGTTATAAAATGTTAATAAACATGATAAAGGAATAGCTTATCCCCACATTCAATGTGTTTCTTTAGATTTTTAATGTTTGTTTTAGTACTAAGCATGACTGCTCTTCATTTCCATGTGCCAGCAAGTTGAACTTCCCTGTAGTGTATTCTGCACAGTGATGTATTGCTCCATACAAATCATGTGTCATGCACAGCACTTCTCACACAAACCCTTTGTTGTATTTGCCTTTTGGTAACCTTATGGCGAGTGTGTTGGGTTTAACACCGTTTTGATCAGTATTTCAATCATAGCACCTCATATCTGCTTCATGTGGAAGAAAGCCTGAAGTTAGATATATGTCACTTTGGTGAAAGCCATTAGCACCGGTATGGCACTGATTTACCTGGTGTCATAATAAGGATGAATTTGGAATGCAAACTCATTTCTGGCATGCCTGCCTAAGACCACAACCCTGCTCAGCCAATATTATAGGCACTTAGGAATCTCTCTCTCTCTCTCTCTCTCTCTCTCTCTCTCTCTCTCTCTCTCTCTCTCTCTTTCACACACACACACACACACACACACACTTGAAGTATTTCACACACACACACACACACACACACACACACACTTGAAGTATTTCACTCCAAAATCATGAATAGTGCAGCAATAATTGTCATTTTATTTAGCAACTGATATTTTCACAAAAAGCACTTTAATGACATATTTTGGTTAGTGTCTACCTATATCAAGTGACCACCTCAGTGGTGTAGTGGATAGAGAGGAAGGTAGGTGGTTCGATACCCTGGTTAAGAGACGTTAAAAGATGGTACTTGTTGTTACCCTGCCTTGCTTTTATGGCATAAACAAGGACTGGTCGGCTCGGAGTCAGTATACTGTGTCTGAGTGGGGTATTCATGTTAATCTGTTGCATGGTATCTCAGTAGGCTAGCACTATAAAACAGCAATAAGTTTTGACTTGTACAAGTGAGTGAGTGAGTATGGTTTTACACCGCTTTTAGCAATATTCCAGCAATATCATGGTGGGGGACACCAGAAATGGGCTTCATACATTGTACCTATGTCGGGAATCGAACCCTGGTCTTCGGCTTGACAAGCGAAGGCTTTAACCACTAGGCTACCCGACCGCCTCTTGACTTGTACAAGCAGCCATTCACACATCCCTGTCGCTGTATAAGAGAAACACATTGGAATATGACGTTAATCCCTATTTCACCTCACCTCAGCCCTATAAAGTAAAACACATCTAGCAAATATGCTATCTATTGTACAAGTTGTACTTACATTGATCATTTGATTACATTGCTGTGAATATTATATCTGCAGGTGTTTCAGTTCAAGAAAAGACTGAGAACAAGCTTATGTTACGGTTTGACACCAGTTACAACCATGAATATGTTGATGAACACTACATAGAGCTGATCCGCAGCAAGAAACAAGATGGCTACCAAGTGTCCCACCACACACTGCCAGCTTTCATACCCTTGTCCCAGCTTGAGGTACATCTGGAGACGGAGATCAAGGTCTTCGTGGACACAGTTAGGGAGTATCTGCAGGCATTTGTCATCCGGCGCGGCCAAGTCAAGATGTTGGAGGTGAGTTTAGTAAAAAAAGTTATTTTATGTTGTGAAACAATCTCATCAGTGCCGTAGCCAGCCGGGGGGCAGGGGGTCAGTTGCCCCCCCCTGGATTTTTTTATACAAAACAGTTTTATTTGAATCATGAAAATACAAGTTGTGGACAAGTGATACTTGTATAAATATTTGCCCCCCCTGTCAAAAAAAGTTAACTACGGCCTTGATCATTAAAATCAGATCTTTGCTTACGGGTCCAGTTAGAACGACCTTTTCATCCAACCAATCAGAGCTTTGCTTGCCAGATCGGGAAAGTGATAGTCGGAATATGTTTTCTAATCATGGAACCTTGAAAATGTTAACATGGGATATTCCGAACGACAGTTATTTGCTGTATGTCTATCTCTCGCTTCAATAGGATGGATATTTGAAACAGAGGAGACTTTCCATAGCCAGTGAGAAGTTCTGCCATACAATATCGGACATCTATTTTCTTTTGTTAAATTTTCAAATTTTGAATCGATATTTTTAAAAGCATAGTCTTGAATGGAAGTCGCCATTTTGAATCAAGCACCATAAAGCTTGAGAAAGCGGCTATCTCACTGGATAACGTCAACTTCTAGTCAGTCATTTCATTGGTCTGTCCCAGTTTGCGAAAGGTCGTTCTGACGTGACTAGCAAGAACTGAGATCTGATTTTAATGAGATTGTGTTGTGAAATATCATTCCTTTTGTTCTATGAGATCATAATGAGATCATGTTGTTGGATACACAGCGGGTTTAGTTCTCTCGATGGTAATTGTGAACCATTCATTATCACAATTGTATCCAAATAGATACGGTTTAATGTACATAACTGAATAGGCCTGAGAAGAAATACCATATACAATTTACCATGAGAATAATTTGAAAACAATACCTTTTGCTATTTTGTTTTTAGACTGAACTGGCTGAAATTCTCCGAAGTGAGATTGAGACGAGTTTCCCGGTGGACTATGTGAGCATGTCTCTACAGTCAGCAGACGATGTACCTATCAGAATAACACTGTGCTACACTGACCTGCGGTCTGCACACCCAGATAAAGCAGAGGTCAGCCCTATAGAGACTCCAGGTAGGTTTTTAATGCCGGGCCAGAATGGCCGAAGGGGAATTATGTCGTAGCGCAGTCCGTCCTTCCGTCTGTCCGTCTGCCTGTCTGTCCGTCCGTCCATCTGTCCATCCCACAGAGGGTACTAAGCTTGTGAAATCAACTCCTCCTACAGTTTCCAGAGGATATCCCTGACACTCTACACACAAGAGGTCGACATGTTGATGATACGCATATCGCAGTCCCGTTTCATTTCGACTAATTTTGACAGAGTTACTGCCCCTGTTATATGGAGCTTCATTTGCCTAGTTGTGAGAGAGGGTACTAAGCTTGTAAAATCAACTTCTCCTACAGTTTCCAGAGAATATCCCTGACACTCTTTACAAAAGATGTCGACATGTTGATGATTCGCATATCGCAGTCCCTTTTCATTTCGACAAATTTTGACAGAGTTACTGCCCCTGTTTTACGGAGCTTCATTTGCCTAATTGTGAGAGAGGGTACTAAGCTTGTGAAATCAACTCCTCCTACAGTTAAAATGTGCACATGTTTAATATATCCATATCACAGTCACGTTTCATTTCTTTTCATGTTGAGAGAGTTGGTTTATGAAGCCTGATTTGCACAACTGTGAGAGAGGGTATACTGTTTTTGTGATGTCAACTCCTACATTTTTCAGGGAATATCCCTGATGCTCAAAACACATGCCGCTCTACACACAACATGTGCTATTTATACACATATCGCAGTCGTTATAAAATTGATTTATTTTAACAGAGTTACTACCCTGGTTTATGATCCTCATTTTTGTCAACTGTAAGATTCTATGAAATCCAGAATTTTTTTTGGAAACAATACATTGGATGCATGTATGCTGTTAGTAAACATATGACGATGATGTTCCATTGCTATCAGTTTCAAAAGAATTCATGCGGGGGATGTTGTGCTCTCAGAGCACTCTTGTTGCTGTAGTGAGGGTTTGTTGATGTGACCTTGACCTCTTGACCACTCAGATCAGGAAGATGTATCATCAGTCATATAGACTCCAGATAGGTTTTATTGAGGGTCTTTCAGACTTCCTATCTGGCCAACTTGATTAAGCAAAGTCCGGCCAAGTATGTTGTGTTGAATATTACTCTGTGTGACCTTGCCTTCTGTTTGCACTCTGAGATGTAGCAGAGAACGGGGCAATGTTTTGTTCTGCTGGCAGTTATATACAGAACATCAGCAAAGCCAGTACAGTCGTGCCTCGTTTATACGGACACTTGCGCCATTTCACAATTCGTCCGTATAAACGAATTTCCGTATAACTGAAACCAGCTTCTTACTGGAAGAGTTACTTCCCTTCAATTATGCAACTCATGACAGATGACAGAGGAAACAGATACATCCACTCAATGTTTATTCAAGACATACTCACTGTCACTTGGTTAATTGACTTCTCATGAATCAAAGGATTACCACCAGCGGAAGTGTATTGTCTGGGTAAGTGAGACAATTTTGTGTGCATTTCAGTGTTTTGTGTATGAAAATGACCATCCGGTTCCGGAAACTGAATTTCCGTATATACGGGTAAATTTATATAGTACTTATTTTGTTTTGAATGAAAATCGTCCGGGAACCGAGGTTTCCGGATATCTGAAGTGTATTAGCGGGGCATGACTGTACTGTACACAGTGAAAAGCCATTATCTTAAGTATACATGTAAACTGCCTGATTTCACTTCATAAGGTTAGGAAATATTTCACTGACCATTGCAAAATCTAGTATCATTTTTGTGAAGGAAGACACTAACGGAATTCGATATAAGCTGCATATTTGTGTAAAATATTCATTAAAGAAACTGAAATACACAGACACACCAAATCAAACCCGCAACAAAAACTATAAATACGCTATTGAAATAAAACTAATGCATATATTACAATTATTAGATACAACGTTTACATAAATTACAACTGTTAGATAAAATGAATTCGCTTATGACAGTTACATTCAGAAAAGCTTGTGAGACAAACAAACTCAAATACTGATAGATGCCAATTGAAAAGCACATTGTGTCTAGTCAATGTATCTTAAACAGTCGTTGATTGGTGATTTAAAAAATAGCGCCTTTCCAACAATACTATGTTTTGCAAACAAAAATGGCTTCTCGGAGAAGGAGCTGCAAGCAGACAGACAGGTATGCTCCAATTCATTTAGTTTTAAATGATTTACAGGGATTGTTACAAAACAGGTTTTCAAGTTAAAATACCCAAATGTCAAGAAACAGGTGGGTAAAAAACAATTGAATACCCTCTAAAAAGTATGGATACCCAAACCAAATCAAACCCCTGGGTAAAATACCCAAATAACCAAAAGCTTATCTATAGCTGTGCACTGAGACATGATATTGCATCAGTACTCATGCCGATAAAAAACACTTGGTTAACATATCAGATAACCTTTTAGTGGAGAATAAAACTAGGTTTACACTTTCAGGATGCTAAGAAATGTTGTTTTGTAAAAAAGGAAACATTTTATTTTCATTTTTTACAAGGAAAGCTGATTTTGCACTTAAAGATTTCAACATCTCTCAACTTCTTGTACTTGTAGGCTGAGTGCAGTAAATTAAGATGAATGTGACAATGACAATGTCAATAATACAAGCTGTCTCAATATATCTCCACTGCTAGTTAGACACTAAGTGTTTCTTGTATCCGTGGTTACTAAAGGAGATTTCTGATCATATAGAATGTGTTTGGATGTTATTATGCCATAAATGATGTTTTGCAGCTAGCAGTAATGATGTGCTATAAAACACTTCACATCAATATCTGTGCTGAGCATTCTGGGCTGGCAAGAGGTGTTGTAAATCTTTCAAGTACTTCGTGGGTTTTATGGGCTCCTGGGTAGTTTTTGTTAACCCTATCTCAGTGGTGATCGACTGTCTCCGTGGTCTAGAGGATAAAGCGTTTGCCTCCGTGATCTAGAGGACAAAGCGTCTGCCTCTGTGGTCCAGACGATGAAGGGTCTGTCGCCATGGTCTAGAAAATAAAGCGTCTGTCTCCATGGTCTAGAGGATAAAGCTTCTACCTTTGTGGTCTAGAGGACAAAGTGTCTGCCTCCATTGTCTAGAGAATAAAGCGTCTGCCTCCATAGTCCAGAGGATAAAGCATCTGCCTCTGTGGTCTAGAGGATAAAGCATCTGCCTCTGTGGTCTAGAGGACAAAGCTTCTGCCTCCCTGGTCTAGAGGATAAAGCATCTGCCTCTGTGGTCTAGAGGATAAAGCATCTGCCTCCGTGGTCTAGAGGATAAAGCTTCTGCCTCCCTGGTCTAGAGGACAAAGCGTCTGCCTCTGTGGTCTAGAGGATAAAGCTTCTGCCTCCATGGTCTAGAGGATAAAGCTTCTGCCTCCCTGGTCTAGAGGACAAAGCGTCTGCCTCTGTGGTCTAGAGGGTAAAGAGTCTGCCTCCGTGGTCTAGAGGATAAAGCATCTGCCTCCGTGGTCTAGAGGATAAAGCTTCTGTCTTCATTGTCTAGAGGATAAAGCATCTGTGTCCGTGGTCTAGAGGATAAAGCTTCTGCCTCCATGGTCTAGAGGATAAAGCTTCTGCCTCCCTGGTCTAGAGGACAAAGCGTCTGCCTCTGTGGTCTAGAGGGTAAAGAGTCTGCCTCCCTGGTCTAGAGGATAAAGCATCTGCCTCCATGGTCTAGAGGATAAAGCTTCTGTCTCTGTGGTCTAGAGGATAAAGCATCTGTGTCCGTGGTCTAGAGGATAAAGCTTCTACCTTTGTGGTCTAGAGGACAAAGTGTCTGCCTCCATTGTCTAGAGAATAAAGCGTCTGCCTCCATAGTCCAGAGGATAAAGCATCTGCCTCTGTGGTCTAGAGGATAAAGCGTCTGTCTTCATGGTCTAGAGGATAAAGCGTCTGTCTCTATGGTCTAGAGGATAAAGCTTCTGTCTCTGTGGTCTAGAGGATAAAGCATCTGTGTCCGTGGTCTAGAGGATAAAGCGTCTGCCTCCATGGTCTAGAGGATAAAGTGTCTGCCTCTGTGGTCTAGAGGATAAAGCGTCTGCCTCCCTGGTCTAGAGGATAAAGCATCTGTTGACGTGGTCTAGAGGATAAAGTGTCTGTCTCCGTGGTCTAGAGGATAAAGCATCTGCCTCTGTGGTCTAGAGGACAAAGCGTCTGCCTCTGTGGTCTAGAGGACAAAGCATCTGCCTCTGTGGTCTAGAGGATAAAGCATCTGCCTCTGTGGTCTAGAGGACAAAGCGTCTGTCTCTGTGGTCTAGAGGATAATGCATCTGCCTCTGTGGTCTAGAGGATAAAGCCTCTGCCTCCGTGGTCTAGAGGATAAAGCATCTGCCTCTGTGGTCTAGAGGACAAAGCGTCTGCCTCCCTGGTCTAGAGGATAACGCATCTGCCTCCTTGGCCTAGAGGACAAAGCGTCTGTCTCCCTGGTCTAGAGGATAATGCATCTGCCTCCTTGGCCTAGAGGACAAAGCGTCTGCCTCCATGGTCTAGAGGATAAAGCATCTGTTGCCGTGGTCTAGAGGATAAAGTGTCTGTCTCCGTGGTCTAGAGGATAAAGCTTCTGCCCCCCTGGTCTAGAGGACACAGCGTGTGCCTCTGGTCTAGAGGATAAAGCATCTGCCTCCTTGGTCTAGAGGATAAAGCATCTATCAGCGTGGTCTAGATGATAGAGCGTCAGTCGCCATGGTCTAGAGGATAAAGTGTCTGTCTCTGTGGTCTAGAGGATAAAGCTTCTGCCTCCCTGGTCTAGAGGATAATGCGTCTGCCTCCTTGGCCAAGAGGACAAAGCATCTGCCTCCATGGTCTAGAGGATAAAGCGTCTGCCTCCATGGTCTAGAGGATAAAGCATCTGTTGCCGTGGTCTAGAGGATAAAGCTTCTGCCTCCCTGGTCTAGAGGACACAGCGTCTGCCTCTGGTCTAGAGGATAAAGCATCTGCCTCCGTGGTCTAGAGGATAAAGCATCTGTTGCCGTGGTCTAGAGGATAGAGTGTCTATCTCCGTGGTCTAGAGAATAAAGCTTCTGCCTCCCTGGTCTAGAGGACACAGCGTCTGCCTCTGGTCTAGAGGATAAAGCGTCTGCATCCGTGGTCTAGAGGAGAAAGCATCTATCAGCGTGGTCTAGAGGACAGGAGGAAAAAGCGTTTGCCTGGAGAGCAGAGGGTCGGTGGTTCAATCCCAGGCCATGTCATACCAAAAGACATTAAAAGATAGTACTTCTTGTTACCGCGCCGGGCACTCTGTATCAAGAGGGTAAAAAAAGGACTGGTCGGCTTGGAGTCAGTATGCTCTGTTTGAGTGGGGTATGCATGTTAAACTCTGTGTCTCAGTGGGCTAGCACTATAAAACCTGCATTATGTACACGGACGCATGCATGCACACAAAAATTCAAGTAATATTATGTTCTTTTTGTTTATGTGTACCAGTAGCTATCTATTTTGTGCTGAATTTGGTGTCTGGGAAAGTTCAGACATGTACGTAAGACATTGACAGCCCAAGAGCATCAGGGTACATAAATGATACGTACAGTGATACGTTCTGTAATACGTTCAGATACATAGTGGTACATGCAGTAATACTTAGTGGTTATTACATGGCAGTTTTCATGTCATACCCCAAATCAGCCTTAAACCCCGGAGGCCAGATTGGTGGGTTGAGGGTTGATATGGGTATGATACGAAAACTGACATATAAGAACAATTTTATCATATACCATAACATTAAATTGTATCTAGTCGCAAGTGACTGCCGGGTCGTGTGTTCAAGACGCGGTATGTTTAAAGATATTTTTATATAAAAAAATGGAAATACAAGCAAAATGTGCAGCGGAGTTTATGATGATGCAGCGGTGCCTGAGAACCAAGACTTATTTTTTAAGCCTAATGGTACACACAGTGCTGCATATTTTATTCTATACAGTAGTACATAAGGTGATATGTACGGTGGTACATACATTGATACGCACAGTGATACAGAGCAAAGAAAAACAATCCGATCATTTGCCATGTGTGACTTTCTTATGGACTCACAAAGAGGGCAATACTATAATACATATAATAAATGTTATATTTGGGAAAACACTTTCTTAGTTGAGTACAGATTCTCGTACTTTTTTTTCTTTTTTCTTTTTTTTTTGGGGTGGGGAGGGGGGTTGTTCATAATGAAATACTTGTTTGTGAACAAATCCAACAGTAGTAATGGGAATCCATATCAGCAGTCAACAAGACTAAACAGGAATGGTGTCTGTAGGGCAGTGCATTGGCAAAAACATTGTATTGCTACAATATAAGTTGTAGCAGGATCCCGACAAGAAGTAACAAGGTAATAATTTAAGTCATACATTCTAATGGACGTCCTTTACAACACAACCAAATAAAACACGAAAACAATTATGCCACTACAAGTAAATATGATAAATCTTCTGATTGACTCAGTAACTAAGGACTTTGTTTCATATTTAATGGTGTTATTTGTACTGGAAAGTGGATATACTGTGAATTTCTTGCAGGCCGCTATATTCCTTTTGTACGATAGAACAATTTTCCGTTTCCATTCGTTAATTCACAAGAATGTCTACGAATACATATAGTTACTTATATGTTATAGATGTCCATTAACAAATCAAGAAAACTTACATAACTGAACATTTGTAAATAAGGGTTGGACAACTGATTAGTCAAGTCCAGAAAATCTCGCATGTAAATCTTCAAATCTTGCACAGTCTCGCACGAAAGTATCGTTTGGTCTCAAGGCCCATCCCTCTGTTTATGGTCTCTATTCCAGGCAATCTGAAAAGACATGACTCAATACTATCCGATGTCAAGATACCGTCCCCACTAGTCAAGCATTTTGCTCTGGGCCTTTTGACTAGCCTGTGGTTCAGTACACATTAACATTATCGACTAATAGCTCATGGAATATACATGTACTATGGTAGTCAAGAGGATGGATATTTCCAGGGTTGCAACTTGACCTGAATTTTCACTTGCCTGAATAGTGATTACATATTGGGACACCCCTAAAAAATCTGAAATTATGCTAATCTTCAGGATAACTTAATATGTGTGAGGGAACAAATTTAGATTCATATCATTTCAAACTACTCATTTCCATTTCCAACTTCTTATGATGTGCAAGTGATCATCACCTCCATGATTTTGAGGCAACTTTGTTTCAGATTGTTGTGACTTAGCTCTATTTCTCCTCGTCATGAAGATAACACAATGTGTTTGGAGTCGTGACTCACTTAGGGTTAATACCCTTCATAGATAGCTCATGATCGAACAGGACATGCATCCTTTATATTATCAGGTGAGTTTCAACAATGACATATTGTCAATTCCACAGACTGAACCTTTACAGGAGGAATATCGTCAATTGTTTCTTGGTCTGTGTTTTCACTCGTGCCCCTGTTGGGGTTACGCTATATCATAAACAGATAAAGTAGTACTAAGCCTTACCAAGGACCATGAAGTGGCCAAGGACACTGTCACATTGACTTTTACGATGTTACTAAGCTGCCATGACGGTAGTGTCCTACAGCCAGTCACCAGTGGATCATGGAAGGCATCTGCAGCATCTTGACTTTAGGAGGGTGATAACGCTGTTTGTGTTTCTGTGCCAAGTGGAAACAGGCTTGTCGGATTCCTTTTTGGTCTGATATAGTGAGATTCAGGTCTTCACGATGGTAGTTCTGGAGAATTTGGAGCACCTCGGATCTAGGGGGGAGGAAGGAGACATAGTTCGTGTTGGCCTGAATGACGCTGTGGCATTGAATATTGACAGTATGGACTACAGTGCCAGGGTTGTGGGCTATCTCATTCTTGTGCCATTTATTTGCATTTTTGGCATAATTGGTAACATTGTGAATATTCTGATCCTCCACAAGGGACCGTTCTCTGGAGCTGCGTATGTGTACTTAAAAGGCTTGGCATTCTATGACATGCTGAGTTTGATTTTCATTCTGCCAATTTGTGCAATCCGTTGCCCAGTGTGTTCTGTGGCAGAGCGCTCCTGGAGTGTTTACGAGGCGTACATCTATATTCCCGTTGGTGACATATTTATCAAGGCCAGTGTTGTGACAACGGTTGTCTTCACCATCGAACGCTGTCTCATGATTTGTTTCAACAATCATTTCCGTTTTGAGGTTAAAAAGACAAAGTCGGCCATAGTAACCGTTTCGCTTATTGGTTTTTTTTGCACAGTGGAAAACATTCCAACATTCTGGATGTATCACATCAGCATAAATGGATCCATTGTCCAGACTGATTTTGCAAGTTCAACATTTTTTGCTTTTTATGGATGGCTTGATGCTGTACTCTTCCAGTTTATTCCAATGATTGTGTTGTTCATATTCAATATCATACTAATAATCTACCTCAGGAAACATCGTCTGGTTCAGCGCGACCTTCAAACTCCGACCCAGATTGCCAAAAAAAAATACAACCTTGAACAGACACGTATGATTTTCTTGCTTATAGGTATTATTGTGTTATTTTTCTCAACCATGGTACCAAGTTCGGTGATGCAGCTGATTGGCTACAGTATACAGTTTGGTTCGGATGTCTTCACCAAGTTTCAAGTCACAACAACTGTTCTCATAGCATTAAACTTCTCATGCAATTTCCTTTTATATTGTGCCATCAACAAAAGGTTTTGGATGACCTTCAAGAGGATTTGCTGCTGTTGCTGCCAGAATCGAATTCATCCGGTGATGGATGCTGTTGTGGCAGAGCAAGCTGTTGTGACCAGACTAAGATTTTCTTATGCCAGGAACAGGACAGAGTTTTCCAGGGGAGCCAGTGCTTTAACAACAGGGATGACTCTCACCACTGATATTTCCCGATCCAGGCCAAATCCAGAACTTGTAGAACCTGTCTCAGAATGTGATAAAGAAAATAGTGACGCGAGTAGATAGGTGCAGTTTGAGAAGCTGGTTTAGAGAATCTGATGGCTTTGTCCGATGCAGGTATTTCTACATCTGGAGCAGAACAGTCCTCTTCAGAACTATGTGACAAAACTGGACAAATGTTATTTGTGAATGTTTAACAAAAGAACAACTTACTTTCTGCAATGTGGTTATTGAAAAGTGAAAGAGATTCATTTTTATATAGAATGTTTTACAAGTGAAAAATGTATAATCACACCTCCATACTGAGACGTTGTTCAGATACAGTTGTTGTTATTCAGCAGAGTCCGTTTTATTGAATGTGAACACTGAAGGGAACACAACACAACCATAAGTGGTTGCAACGTGATGTAACTTCCAACTCAAGAAGACTGACCATCTCAGGGGTAGTCACTTGGAAGTGAATTCTGGTATGACCAAGTCTTGTCCACGACAGGACATGGCGTTGGATACCAGGTGTGACCAAGTCATGTCTAGGACAGTGCGTGGGGTTGTTTACCAGGTATGACCAAGTCTTGTCTAGGACAGTACGTGGGGTTGTATACCAGGTGTGACCAAGTCTTGTCTAGGACAGGACATGGGGTTGGATACTAGGTGTGACCAAGTCTTGTCTAGGATAGTACGTGGGGTTGTATACCAGGTATGACCAAGTCTTGTCTAGGACAGTACGTGGGGTTGGATACTAGGTGTGACCAAGTCTTGTCTAGGACAGTACGTGGGGTTGTATACCAGGTATAACCAAGTCTTGTCTAGGACAGGACATGGGGTTGGATACTAGGTGTGACCAAGTCTTGTCTAGGACAGTACGTGGGGTTGTATACCAGGTATGATCAAGTCTTGTCTAGGACAGTACGTGGGGTTGGATACTAGGTGTGACCAAGTCTTGTCTAGGACCGCATGTGGGGTTGTATACCAGGTATGACCAAGTCTTGTCTAGGACAGTACGTGGGGTTGGATACTAGGTGTGACCAAGTCTTTTCTAGGACAGTACGTGGGGGTTGTATACCAGGTGTAACCAAGTCTTGTCTAAGACAGTACATGGGGTTGGATACTAGGTGTGACCAAGTCTTGTCTAGGACAATGCGTGGGGTTGTATACCAGGTGTGACCAAGTCTTGTCTAGGACAGTACATGGGGTTGGATCTTAGGTGTGACCAAGTCTTGTCTAGGACAGTATGTGGGGTTGGATACTAGGTGTGACCAAGTCTTGTCTAGGACAGTACGTGGGGTTGGATACTAGGTGTGACCAAGTCTTGTCTAGGACAGTACGTGGGGTTGTATACAAGGTATGACCAAGTCTTATCTAGGACAGTACGTGGGGTTGTATACCAGGTGTGACCAAGTCTTGTCTAGGACAGTACATGGGGTTGGATCTTAGGTGTGACCAAGTCTTGTCTAGGACAGTACGTGGGGTTGGATACTAGGTGTGACCAAGTCTTGTCTAGGACAGTACGTGGGGTTGGATACTAGGTGTGACCAAGTCTTATCTAGGACAGTACGTGGGGTTGGATACTAGGTGTGACCAAGTCTTGTCTAGGACAGTATGTGGGGTTGGATACTTGGTGTGACCAAGTCTTGTCTAGGACAGTACGTGGGGTTGGATACCAGGTATGACCAAGTCTTGTCTAGGACAGTACGTGGGGTTTGGATACTAGGTGTGACCAAGTCTTGTCTAGGACAGTATGTGGGGTTGGATACTTGGTGTGACCAAGTCTAGTCTAGGACAGTACGTAGGGTTGTATACCAGGTGTGACCAAGTCTTGTCTAGGACAGTATGTGGGGTTGTATACCAGGTGTGACCAAGTCTTGTCTAGGACAGTACGTGGGGTTGTATACCAGGTGTGACCAAGTCTTATCTAGGACAGTATGTGGGGTTGTATACCAGGTATGACCAAGTCTTGTCTAGGACAGTACGTGGGGTTGAAAACCAGGTGTGACCAAGTCTTGTCTAGGACAGTACGTAGGGTTGTATACCAGGTGTGACTAAGTCTTATCTAGGACAGTATGTGGGGTTGTATACAAGGTGTGAATAAGTCTTGTCTAGGACAGTATGTTGGGTTGTATACCAGGTGTGACCAAGTCTTGTCTAGGACATTACATAGGGTTGGATACTAGGTGTGACCAAGTCTTGTCTAGGACAGTACGTGGGGTTGTATACCAGGTATGACCAAGTCTTGTCTAGGACAGTACGTGGGGTTGAAAAACCAGGTGTGACCAAGTCTTGTCTAGGACAGTACGTAGGGTTGTATACCAGGTGTGACCAAGTCTTATCTAGGACAGTATGTGGGGTTGTATACCAGGTGTGACCAAGTCTTGTCTAGGACAGTACGTGGGGTTGAAAACCAGGTGTGACCTTTAATCTTGTCTAGGACAGTACGTGGGGTTGTATAGCAGGTGTGACCAAGACTTGTCTAGGACAGTGCGAAGGGGTTGAATACTCTTTGGTTTCAGAGAAATTACTTCAGAGAAAGGTCAAACCTTGTGTCTGTAATATCACATTGTAGCAACATTACAGCGTGATGTCACCTTTTAATTGTGATATCAAAAACCAATCATTGCCCCCTCTTCACATGCGGCTGTCATGAAAACATGTTGAAATTGTTTGTTTAGCCTTCTTATCAGTCTGTAGTTACTGTCTCTTTGTGATTAATGTACATACAATTACCATGTCAGTTAATAAAGCGTTCATTATTTGTTTTCCATAATCATCTAAACCCTTGTGTTATGGCCTGTTTTATCAAATCGTGCAAATATTGAAGAAAACTGGAGGCGAGCTACAAGCCCTCATGTGATCGATGAAGTTTCTGACTGTGTACGTTAGGACTACAATTTTATAATAATATCAGACATGATTGCAAATAAGTAACGTGGTAAGCATGGTTAGGCCTCAGTGGTTCCAGGCAAGTTAAGGAAGTGCGGATATTTTCGTTTCTTTTGCTGCCATTTGACAGAACAATTTCAAGATGGCCTTAAAGGGTCTGTATGTCGATGGTTGTGGGTGTACTTAAGTCATGCATGAAATGATTTCCAAGTGATGTCACAGCTTTAGTACATGCACAATTCCATTCTCAAACCAAAACAATAGAACTCCATACAGAGAGGTCGACAACCCAAGCGCTGCGCTGAATAACTGGCTTCATCCATTTTTTATTGAGGGAAATTGAAGAGAGAACTTGTGTGTGTTTCTTACGGATCTCTTACAAAATACTAACTGACAGCTTGATTTGATTGTTTGAAGCCAATCACGTTGCAGAACACTCTCCTACCCAGAGTTCCATAAGGCCAGCCTTACACAGTCCATCCAAGATATTGCATATGTTTTTCATCTGTCTACACATTAACTGTTTAACTTACATTGAGAAAATATCCTAAACCCTGATAAACTATTTCCATTTGTGTTTTAATCGAAGCTGTACGGAGAGCTCGCACGTGATACCGATGTGTACAGCTGCATGTATATTATCGTGCACCTCACTGTCACAGTTGTTGTAGCATATCTATGTAATTATGCACAATATGTAAAGTGCACCAAAAGGCTTGCATTAGGTCTGGTCCTATTTCAGAATATACACTTCTGTTTAAACAAAGAGTCAGTTCATGTGATAAGGCTACACCTGTGGTGTGGTCACTGGAGCAGAAACTTCTCTCATGGAATAAAGCAAGTAGGGCTGAGTAAGCTCTGGGGTTATCAGTTATTGTTTGCCAACAATGCTTCACACATACTGGCCCTTTAATGATGAATTAGACGATGATATATGATTATGTAATGTCAAATTATGATGATTTGGGGAAATAAAATTAGTTCATCCTCATGCCACACATTTTATATTTTTTGTTTCAGGGGCCCGCCGCCCCTGATTGACATAGCTATTTATTTTTATTTATATTGCGACCAACCTTGAGTGGAATAAATCAATAAATAAATGAATAAATAAATAAATAAATAAATAAGTGATTGATATAACTATTTATTTTTATTTATATTGCGACCAACCTTGAGTGCGAAAGCTGGAATATATCCGTGAAACAAAATTTTAAAAGTGTGGCCTTATATCCCATATCGAGCACTTGTTGATAAATGTAGTATTGCCAAGGAAGGTGAGATTCTATGTGTAAACTGATAAGGCAGGAGAGTGTTTGAAACAAAGCATGAAAGTTAAGTGGTCCATGTGATAACTCTGATGTTAAACTGGACCCCAGGGCCCCACCTGACATTAGGATATACCATCTAGTCACAAGATGGGTCTTGGAAATCTTGGTGCTTGTGCTTGTGCTTGTGCTTGTGCTTGTATGAAAATTTCTGCTGTGAGTTAAGGTTCTCTGGGAGAGAGTGGTTGAGTCATGTTTTATGCTATATTTTCAAGTAATGCTATAAATGGTTTCATGAATTGGACCCATTTGGGGATGGTGACAACTTAATCATATATTGTTGCAAGTTGGCAGGATGGGGGTGCTGGAGTCCTGGAGTTGCCAAGTGTTGAAAGAGTTCACTGAAGTGGCGACTAACGGGATCGGGTGGTCAGACTTGCTGACTTGGTTGATGCATGTCATTGTATCCCATTTGTGTGGATCGATGCTCATGATACCAATCACTGGATTGCCTGGTCCAGACTCGACTTTTTACAGACCTAACCATCATATAGCAGGATTATTATTGAGTGTGGCAACAAACAAACAAATAAAGTGTTCAGTTGTCATGGCAAAGGGCTGGGTTTGATTCCCAACAGGAGTACAATGGGTGAAGCCCATTTGTGGTGATCCTGCCATGGTATTGCTGGAATATTGTTGAAAGCAGTCTCTTTTAAGATCGGGTAAGCAGTGTTCTGATTGGTCATATGAAAGGTAGTTCTGACATGACCTGTTATGGGATGTTCTCAGATCTTTGTTTAGCGGAGCGAGAGCTAAGATCGGATTTTGATGAAATTGTTGCTGAAAGTGGCATAAAACCTGACTCACTCACTCACTCACTGCTGCCAGTTGACCGATGGATATAACAATGTTGCAACCTTAAGAGGTATATGGCGCTGTATTCATATATCCTTAGTGTCATAATTCCACTACAGTAAGTAACGATAAAAAACAATTTATGTAGTTGAAGTACGTTGAATTCAGTTTGATTCAGCAATTTATGGTTGGAACAGTTTACGACAATCATGTAATGATTTGTCATAGTCATCTATCCTCGACTAAATTGTGCAATTAAGCAATAAAACCGTCATGATAGGTCTGACTGCAGGTGTAATCACGCACTCTCTACCTCCTCCTCAAGGTCTGTGTGCTGAGATATAGTTCCTGCTAGACGTTACTGCCACTCAAACTCACACTCAGAACCGAGTGGTTCATGTTTTAGTGATTCCACCATATCCTTGCCATGGGCGAACTAGTATTATATGCATCGTTTTCACGACCCGTGAAGATCCGGGATAGAATAGAACTTCAGCAACCCATGCTTGCCATAAGAGGAGACTATGCTTGTCGTAAGAGGTAACTAATGGGGTCGAACTCGCTGGCTTGGTTGATGCATGTCATCTTACCCCAATTGCGTGGATCAATGCTCATGATGTCAATCACTCGATTGTTTGGTCCACACTCAATTATTTACAGACTGCCGTCATGTAGCTGGAATATTGCTGAGTGCGGTGTCAAATAACAAACAAATATAGTTTTCCCAGCCCTTGAAGAGAGCAGAAAGGATATATGTCTTGTTTTTGCAACCCTGTATACTCTAACCCTGTTTTGTTCCAGAAGTGCCTCACTTGTCATACATCTTCTAAAAACTAGCAACAAAAGATCCGTTTTCCGAACTTCAGTTTCAGATATTATCCATAAGAACATATTTGAAAAGATTTTGAACAAGATTTATTAACCTACTTTTTGAATAGTGTCTAAAGGATAGCATTTAGGAGAGATCAGTACGTAAAAATGATTGCAAGTAGCTGCAAATTTGGTCAGATTAATTCTAATCTGGCTGTTCTCTTGAAAAACTAGTGCCTTACAAACTTAAAGATGGATACATTTTAATTAAAAAACAAACAGATTGGCTGCTCTGAGGATATGGATTGGTATAAAGGGTGGTGAGGTGGTACAGGTGTCAGCTGTTTATTAAGTTTGGGTTCAGATCCACACATTTGTGAAGCCTGGTGTCCTCTGAGTTACCGGTGTCCCAGTGGTCTGGGGCTTTGTAACACACTGCAGTGCACCCCTTGGCCAATGTTGGAGTAACACACTGCAGTGCACCCCTTGGCCAATGTTGGAGTAACACACTGCAGTGCATCCCTTGGCCAATGTTGGAGTAACACACTGCAGTGCACCCCTTGGCCAATGTTGGAGTAACACACTGCAGTGCACCCCTTGGCCAATGTTGGAGTAACACACTGCAGTGCATCCCTTGGCCAATGTTGGAGTAACACACTGCAGTGCACCCCTTGGCCAATGTTGGAGTAACACACTGCAGTGCACCCCTTGGCCAATGTTGGAGTAACACACTGCAGTGCACCCCTTGGCCAATGTTGGAGTAACACATTGCAGTGCACCCCTTGGCCAATGTTGGAGTAACACACTGCAGTGCACCCCTTGGCCAATGTTGGAGTAACACACTGCAGTGCACCCCTTGGCCAATGTTGGAGTAACACACTGCAGTGCACCCCTTGGCCAATGTTGGAGTAACACACTGCAGTGCACCCCTTGGCCAATGTTGGAGTAACACACTGCAGTGCACCCCTTGGCCAATGTTGGAGTGACACACTGCAGTGCACCCCTTGGCCAATGTTGGAGTAACACACTGCAGTGCACCCCTTGGCCAATGTTGGAGTAACACACTGCAGTGCACCCCTTGGCCAATGTTGGAGTAACACACTGCAGTGCACCCCTTGGCCAATGTTGGAGTGA